CTATTTCTCTTGCTTTTGGGTAACATAGCTTCATTTATCAGCTTATTTTATTTTATCTTATATTCAATTTTTGAATCCTTTACAGTGTTATACTATACTCAGGTGACCGTTAAGACCCTTGGACCTCTTCTTTATAAGTTTTAGAATCCAATACAGAGTAATTCAACTTCAATTTGACTGCAAATTTTCATCGGGTATAACCCCACATATGGGGGTACGGAATAGTGACCTTTGGGGTGCGGATTTCGGAGCGTAATTTGCTAGGAAAATTGACCTAATTAGCTTTTCTACAGCGATTGAGATGGAATTAGTTCTATATTAATGTACCACGGAACACAGTGATTTCTCCGTTTACTGATACCAATATCCCACTTCACAATTCGTGCTAGAAGTACATGAACACTTCAACATTTTCTGGCTATGACACGCGGGTTGGCAGATTTGATCGATTCTTTGTAAAAATTCTTGCTTACTTTATCATTCTACATCATTTCAGTTGTATGAGGGGTTTCTTTGCATAATTTTGCAGAAGATACTCTAATAATATCTGGACTTTCACCCAAAATAAATGGTGAAAACTTCAATATTATTGTGTTCCAGGGGTAAACTTATAGATTTTGCAGCTACTGTGTTAGCCACTGTTTTAATTCATTCTTTTGAGATTTACTAACAGTGTGTTACCTTATCATTGTGATACAATAAATAATATACATGTACTAGTATAGTGGGAGTGGGGTGGGAGTAGAAACATCTCTTCATATATTTGATAACATATTAGGAATTACGGTCACTAATTTATAACTACATGTATGTTATGCCTAGATACAGACAGGAAAGAGGTGATAAAAGTATAGAAAAAGTGGGTCATCTGTACATAATTAAAAAACATATAAGTGCTGATGATTAAATCCAGCCCATTAAATCATCCATTTTAGTCATCTTGATCGGATTTATTTGTCTAAGTCGAAGCAATTTTCAGTGATATATGGCTTTATCACGTTTGTATTCTTTCTGACATTTCTATTTTGCCAAAGAAAATCCGCAGCACGGCTGTGTTGCAGATATATATTTGACATTGCTAAAACCTTCTAAAGGTATATATAAGGAAAACGGGGGGGGGGGGGGCAGTTTGAGGAATTTGTTGAAAATCATGTACATGATCTGTCAAAATTTAAGGCAGAGTTGGTGTTTTCATTCCCTTCTCCAACTGGTGACCTTCCTGCTTTCAAATCTGTTTTTAATTATGAACTCCAGGCTTCCTCTGGTTATAGCACTCGTATTTATAATTTTATCCTCAGCATACATCCCATTCCATTTATAAGTACTTCATTTATATATCATGGCATATTTTAACTCAACACAATGTTCAGCTGTCAGACATCTATTTGTTTGTGTTGAACGTGTGAAATTTATTCTCAAATTAAAGTCACATTAATAAATAGATTATTGTCTTTCCGTGATTAATAATTATTACATATTTTGTAGGGTTCAATCATGCATTGTCTGTATATTCAGAAACTATTTTTTGACAGATTTTTTTCTACATCCGTCAAGTTTATTGTAAATCAAGGGACATGTACATGAGCAAAGCATCCTGCTGTGTCACCGAAAATGAAACAGACTTTACTTGTCAATAATCGAGTAGTACATACAAACACAAGGAAATGGTGCACTCGGTCAACATAACCACGTGTGTTTTAAAGGGAAAACAGAAAGTAAATTCTTAAGTGAACTGGTTCTATTAAGAAAATTTGGTGTTATTATCGAATTTTAGATTTTTTTTCGGTCCGACGATCGCGGGAGATTTTTGTCCTAGGAATATTGTTATTTTTTTCAACAAAGGAGGCTAAGGAGTATTACAAAGGATACAGTTCTCTGTAGAAGAAATGAGCGTAAGTGATAATGTAACGATATGTTGTGTTGTATATCTGATACTTTATGCACAGTCATGTCTTCAGGGTTAACGAGATGAAGAATACATGTACCGTGTTACATAGTATATATAATGTATTGACACAGTCTGCGGTTACACGCTGAACAAAAGACGTCAATTCAAAGATTTGTAAAGGCCTTTCGTATCACTTGTTTCTAGATTTTTTAACAACTTCGGCTGAGAACAAAGATGTTTACATGAAGAGCAAAAACTCGAAATTAAATGAGAATTACGTTTTGAAATTGCATAACAGTCGTACGTCAGTACAGTTCGTTGTTGACATCAGGGACATAAAACTTTAAAGTAAAACAAATTAAAAAAAACCTCTCTGACCATATGAATTAATAATTAAGTAATGTTTATGTTCAATATGTATAATAGTTACATATCCCGTTCGGTCAAATTACACTTCCGGGATTTACAAGTCTACTACTTAATGCAGTATTACAGTAATATATAATATTATATGTAGTGAATTAACATATCACTAAATATCTCGCGGTCGCACGTATAATTTATTTTATAAATAGACTGACATAAAGATAACCCTTACCATGAAATGTTATTAACGCTGCAAAAAATGAACGTGCATTTATTTAATTCTGACCACATTTTACTGAGATTATATTGTTTTTCTTTTTTTTAAAAAAAAAAAATCAAAATAAAAGACCTTATCTTTCCCACCTTTTTCTTGTATACTTTACCTTAATCTAAATATTTTCATAGGTAACATAAGATTATATACACATTTTCTTTAAAATTAATTTTTCGTCCTGTCAAAGTTGAAGCAAGTTACGTAACTATTTAACCAGCTCACGGAAATAACACCTATTTTACCTATTCTGCACGGGATTATGCGCTGGTAATTTATCTTAGAAAATTTGTATATGATTACCAGACGTTCGTCTGTCCCCACGGGCGCTGCATCAAGCTAACGAGACAAACGAACATTAAGATCGCCCGACAACTGACCAGTAACTGACCAGTAAGCATATTCGGTGTTCCTGTAATTAGCATTGCCGGAAGGATAGGTGGCGCTGCGCAACGTGAAAGTTAGGATTTCGCGGGAAAGTGTCCCAACGCATACTACCCTTGAATTACGGCTTTTGACTTGTTCCCTATAGATTCTGCTGATTTCTTTGGTTGGTAATTTTAGAGTAGTGACCTTTACCTTTATGTAATGACAAAAAACCGGGGAAAATCTCACAATAGTATGGTAATTATCGTCGTTGAAAATCTTGGATTTGCATTTTTACAATCTTAACAATTTATTACAGTACTTCAACACATTTGAATTAATCAACAAATACCTCTAAATATAATTGGCACCTTTTTTAATGTCATTATTGGCCGTAATATATTGAAAGCACTGTGAAATATTCAGGTACCCTCAAACCGGAAGTGACCTGTTTAGGGAAATTCGAACTGTAAACAACGTGATGACAAACACGAGTACTGACTCGAAGTCAGTCTACGAGGTACATATTTCTTTAAAATTCTAAAGAAGATTTTGTAGACATATATTGCAAACTTAGAATCAAAATTAGAATTTTTAAAGCTATGTATGGCGTATCTGAGAGCTCTAAAAAAAGTACTTATACGAGATTCAATGTAGATATAATTTATATCATAAATAACGTTCAAATAAAAATTTTCACCGATTTTGAACTTGAATATCCTCACGTTTTATAGTTAAATTTCTGTTATTTAAATGTAGAGTCGGTAAATAAATCGGTTATTGTGTTAAATTCTTGACATCTGTTGAAAAGCGATATTGATTTAAATTTAAATTACAGAAAAGTTCTGTCCTAATACAATTTAATAAAATACATATTAAGATTATTTTTTTTTTAAATTTATTTATTTAATAATAAATATAAAGTCATGCATTGCATATTTTTTATAAGTTCAGATAAATAATCTGAACTTATAAAAAATATGCAACGCATGACTATATACATGTATTTATTAATAAATAAATAAATTTTATAAAAATGTTTGAAAGTTATGCATTTATAAATATACTGTTCTCCTTTGTATGTTATGCTTTTACTCTTCAAGAAGAATGGATTTTTTAAACCAATTTTGATGGTGATGGTTCTTCAGTATGATTTTTTTTCCTACTTTGTTAATTTCAATTCAAGTTGAAAATCCTGTTTCATACCCTGACAGGAAATATTCGTACTAGTAATATTAATAGTGTGACCTCTTTTCAATGTCACAATCACTGAAAATTGAAAGAACATTTAAAGATGACTTGTAAAAAATTAAAATATTGAAATTCCATTCATTTATCATTTATAAAAACAAATTACATGTATAATTATTGATGTCAGTAGTAAATGAAATTTACGCAAATTCAATAAATTGTACATAAATTAGTAATATAAAATACAATATAATATGCATGAATTTCATTTACTTCCCACAACAATAATTATAACTTTTTTTAATGAATGAAATATGGATGGCATCTCAATATTTTACTTATATATAAAGTAACTTTGTTGTAATACAAGTTTTCTTTCAATTTTCATTGATTGTCACATTGAAAACGGGTCATATTGCTCATTTTCAAAGGACATTCTGGATATTAAATTAATATTTGGTAAGTGTTTACTGCCTTATTTTATAAGAAGGAATGTATAAAAACACATTAATGAAAAAAAAAATTGCCAGAAATCAAATATCTTTCAAGTTTCAAAGCTGGGACAACTTTCTTTGATAAACGGGAAAAATGCTTCTTTTACTGCCGAGGGGGTTACCCTAAGAATGTGTCTAAAAAATACCCATTTTAGAATATTTTAGTAATTTTTTTTAAGAAAAGCAATGTTTTATCATTAAACTACAAAATACAATTGCAGAAAACTCTTCAAGCATATTTTTAAATTTTGGTCTGGCATTGCTACTGTAATAAACAATGAAAATTATGCAACGAATTTGCGTCGTTTGACAATTGTGTGTTACCATAGGTGAAAAAAGTTGAACATTTCTGTCGTAACATGTGATGTATTAATTATCATGAGAGGCAAAATAATAAACACATTTCTGGGACGTTTTACGCCAAGGCAGTGACTTTTATTGCAGGGATTAAAAAATAATTGGGAGTAAGGACTTTTGGACAGTTGCTGTAACCGGTATGCATGAGCTATCATTATGGTGTATGAACACACGGTGTGTGATGGAATAGATCTAAACTTCATCATTAATGAGAGCGACGAGGAAAACGAAGAGGAATGGTTGAGGTAACGATTTACCGCATCGATCAATTTCACATAAAGATAATAATCAAACAATTATGTATATATTTTAAAGGAAAACGTAGTTATTGAAAAACAGCATATTTACATAGATGTCTATATTGCTTTTAAAAACAGTTTATTTACATGGATGTATATATTGCTTTTAAATTCGGAACTTTATTACAAATTGAAAGCGTTTCTTGCATGATATTTACACTTTTCCGTGTATGTATACACAGGGCCGTAGGAAGCAATTTCAGTTTGGGGGGACACATCCATACATTTTCAGTTGAGGGGGCACTACTAACTACCAAAAATTCCATGACAAGCAAAAAAAAAAAAAAAAAAAGAAAAAAGAAAAAAAAAAGGTCATCAGAGGTTTTTATTGAGGGGGCAAAAGATATAGTATCTATGTTTTCTATAGTACTCTATATATCTGCAAATAACTGGGGCGGGGGGGCACAGCCCCCGTGCCCCCCCCTCCCCGGTTCCTACGGCCATGAATACAGGGAGATCAAAAAAGTCCATGACTAATTCCTGAAAACCAATTATAATATGTTAGTGATATCACAGATTTGCCAGAATTATTAAATAGTACTTGGCATTTATCGTAATTTCTATATTTTGGCGAAGACTTTGATGATTAATTATGGGCGTTGATACCATGTTCGCACGTGTGCACAACCTGAAACATGACCAACATTATTTTTAATTAGTTAAACCCTAATTTAACCAACTCTAGAAATATACTAATCATTGCTTAGTGGATTTACAGTCTTCCGACATGGCTTGCAACGAAAACAATCATTGACACCTTCCTTTGTCGCTTTAGACTGGAATGTCAGACAAGTTCTACAACAGCCTATAAATAATCCCTCGGTCCTTTCCAATATATTTTATTTTGTCAAATAAAATCTGTAAAACAAATTATGCTTACAGAATATCAAACTTTTTAAAAGAACGGCCAATCAATTATCACAAGGGCGAAAAGCACAGAGGCAAGACATAAATGTATAACGTGGTGTAATGACTGTTTATTTTGAAACTTTTGGGAATTTGTTCGTATTGATCAAATGTGAATCAGTTGTTCTGCTGAATAGAATTGAGAAGTTCGTTATGCTTTAGAATATTTTCTGTGCAAGGTTTACTTCTTTTTAACCTTGAGTAGCTTTTACGGTTAAACACACATAATTTTATATCGTTCAATTTAAGCAACTTTGATAGCCTTATATACATTTAGCTCATTTGCATTAAATACATAAAATCAATTATTCCAGCTGATCGTAATATAAAGTTAATTCAATTCTTTTACTATTTTGGGGTAGGAATACAAGGGTTTAGTAAAAACAATATTAGCATATATGTAGTTTGATTTAATTTACCGTAGTTATTTTATATTCACGAATCATACTCCACACATACATATAATCCGGGGGTTGTTTTTGTCTCGTAGCAACTTTCTGGAAAACAGAGACTTTTTTGAAAGGCATGCAAATTTGGGTTAAGGGGAATGGTTTGCTCTCCATTGCCAAATGATCGCTAATGATATAAGATTGTATTCTCATGTTCTCAGATCCATTCTTCTAGAATAAGGTATCCCTTAGTTGTGAGGGGGGGGGGGATAAACAAAATTTTCATTCTGAGTAAAAAAAAAAAAAAAAAAATTAAAATTAATTAAAAAGTACTTTAATGTACGGAATGGGTTGTTGTAATGGTGATGGGGGAGGGGGAGGGCTTCATTCGCTCTGTAAAATGTAGGACTGTGTGTCGTGAAGAAAAAAAGTATCACGATATATCAGAAAAATATCGCAATATATCATTATGTATCAAGTATTTACATTTACAGATTTCTCCGTAATTAATTTTGGGTTTAAAAGGAAGATTTCAGCGTCCCTACATTAAAAAAGTTCATTCTGAAAGTCTTTCAGTATGTATAAAGCGAGAGAGAGAGAGAGAGTTAACTTTAACGAGGTCTGCTCTTGTTGTTTTCAAATACTCTATTTACGATTCCGGAAAGTATCGGGGGAAAATAAATTCATTTTATGTATAGATATTTTATATCGAACCCTTTTGCATCACATGCAAACAGTTTCAGTTGAGGAGCGCAGCCTAAAAAATTCAGTTGGAGGGGGGCATAATTTAAATAAATTCCTTGACAAGCAAAACAAAATTTCATCAGGCTTTAATTTTGAGAGGGAGGAGGGACAACCTTAAGTTAGCTTCATTGCAAAATTATTGGGGCATGCTTTCCCCCTCCGTGCCCATGGTTCCTACGGGCCTGTATCGATGTATTGTTACATCGCTAGTAAAATGGTCGTTGAGCGCACCGTACTCTTCAGTTGTCGGAGGTAGGAAAAACATCTATGCAGACTGGCACGAAACTTTTATGTCCCTGGTTTTCGTCGGTTTTGTGCACTGGACGTTGACCTCTGGCACTGCCCTGGTGTTGCAAATAATATTTTCCAGATACTTATAACCAGGCCTATCTTATCTTTATAGTGGAGTTTGAGCCCAACCCAAACATCATTAAAGTAGTTTTTTCTAACCATAAATATATTTAATATTTTTAGGTCATCGCCAATAAAATACTTTACCAATGAGTTGTCACTTAGAGGTCGTCTTAAAAGATTGTTAATCCGAAAACCAGCAACAAGTATGTATACTTTTTAGCTCTACTGGTCAGAGACCAAAAGAGCTTATGCAATAGTAAGGTGTCCGTTGTCCAAACGTCTGTGTAGCTGTCTGTCTGTAAACTTTCCACATTTTCAACTTCTTCTCCAGAACCACTGAGTCAATTTCATCCAAAACTTGCCACAAGGCCTCCTTAGGTGAAGGGGATACAAGTTTGTTCTAATGGAGGGTCACACCTTCTTTCAAGGAGAGATAATCAAGAATTAGTGAAAATTTTGTGGCGTCTTTTAAAAGTATTCTTCTCAAGAACCACAGGGCCAAAAAAGTTGAAACTTATATGGAAGCTTCATTACATAGTGTAGATTAAAATTTGTTCAAATCATGACCCCCAGGGATAAGGTGGGGCCACAATGGGGGATCAAAGTTTTTTAGATTCAAGTTTGTTCAAATCATGACCCCCGGGGGTAAGTTGGGTCTACAATGGGGGATCAAAGTTTAACGTAGAAAAATGTAGGAAAAAAATCTTCAAAAATCTTCTTCACAAGAATAGCAAAGCCATGTTTAGTCATATTTATATGGAGGCATCCTCAGGTAGTGAAGATTCAGTTTTATTCAGATCATGACCCCCAGTGGAAATGTGGGGCCACAATGGCTAATAAAATTTTATATAGGAATAAATAGGAAAACTCTTTTAAAAATTTTCATTTCAAGAACAGCAAAGCCATGATTAGTCATATTTGTTTACAAGCATCCTCAGGCAAAATACATTCATTTTTTTTTCAAACCATGACCCCAGGGGTAGGCTGGGACCACAAAAGGCTATCTAAATTTTACATAGGAATACATAGCAAACTCTTTTAAAAATCATCCTCTCAGGAACAGCAAGGTCTTGATTAGTCATATTTATATGGAAGCATCCTCAGGTAGTGTAGATTCAAGTTTGTTTAATCAGTTTAACTCATGACTTCCTTCCCTGCCCCTCTGGTGAGTGGGGCACTTGTATATTTCAATACTGAACTGCTTTCTGCTTTTCTCCTGCCAAAGTGCTCAGGTGAGCAATGTGGCCCATGGGCCTCTTGTTTATCAATGTTATAATTAAATGGATAAATGAAATTTACAAGTTTATTCTATTAGGTTTAGTTTCACACAGTCTTTAGGTTAAATAATTCTTTGGATTTAATTTTGGATAAATTTCATCCACAAAATTTGGGATAAATTTTGTCCATAAAATTAAATCCCCAACATATACTTCTGCTTCTGCAGTATATCAGTTTTTTTAGCTCACCTGAGCCAAAGGCTCAAGTGAGCTTTTCTGATCAAAATTTGTCCGTTGTCTGTCGTCGTCGGCGTCGTCGTCGGCGTCGTTGTTGTCGTAAACTTTTCACATTTTCATCTTCTTCTCAAGAACCACTGGCCCAATTTCAACCAAACTTGCCACAAAGTATCCTTGGGTGAAGGGGATTCAGATTTGTTCAAATGAAGGGCCATGCCCTCTTTCAAGGGGAGATAATAAAGAATTAGTGAAAAATTAATCGCATCTTTTAAAAATCTTCTTGTCAAGAACGACAGAGCCAGGGAAGATGAAACTCATGTGGAAGCATTCTCAGGTAGTGTAGATTCAAGTTTGTTCAAATCATGACCCCCGGGGGTAGGGTGGGGCCACAATGGAGGATCAAAGTTTTACATAGAAATATATAGGAAAAACCTTTAAAAATCTTCTTCTCAAGAACAGCAAACCCATGATGAGTCATATTTATATGGAAGCATGCTCAGGTAGTGTAGATTCAAGTTTGTTCAAATCATGACCCCCCGGGGGTAGGGCGGGGCCACAATGGAGGATCAAAGTTTTACATAGAAATATATAGGAAAAATCTTTCAAAATCTTCTTCTCAAGAACAGCAAAGCCCTAATTGGTCATATTTATATGAAAGCATGCTCAGGTAGTGTAGATTCAAGTTTATTCAAATCATGACCCCCGGGGGTAGGGCGTGGCCACAATCGAGGATCAAAGTTTTACATAGAAATATATAGGAAAAACCTTTAAAAATCTTCTTCTCAAGAACAGCAAACCCATGATGAGTCATATTTATATGGAAGCATCCTCAAGTAGTGAAGATTCAAGTTTGTTCAAATCATGACCCCCGGGTGTAGGGTGGGGCCACAATGGAGAATCAAAGTTTTACATAGAAATATATAGGAAAAATCTTTAAAAAATCTTCTTCTCAAGAACAGCAAAGCCCTGATTGGTCATATTTATATGGAAGCATCCTCAGGTAGTAAAAATTCAAATTTGTTCAAATCATGACCCCTGGGGGTAGGGCGGGGCCACAATGAAGGATCAAAGTTTTACATAGAAATATGTAGGAAAAATTTTAAAAATCTTCTTCTCAGGAACAGCAAAGCCCTGATTGATCATATTTATGTGGAAGTATCCTCAGGTAGTGTAAATTCAAGATTGTTCAAATCATGACCCCCTGGGGTAGGGTGGGGCCACAATGGAGGATCAAAGTCTTAAATAGAAATATATAGTAAAATATCTTCTGATGAAGAACTGCAAAGCCATGATTAGTCATTTTGATATGGAAGCATCCTCAGGTAGTGTAGATTCAAGTTTGTTAAAATGATGACCCCCGGGGATAGGGATGGGCCACAATGGGGGTCGAAAATTTTACATAGGAACATATAGGAAAATATCCTCTTCTCAAGAACTGAAAATCATGTTTAGTCATTTTGATATGGAAGCATCCTCAGATAGTGTAAATTCAAATTCGTTCAAATGATGACCCCTGGGGTAGGGTGGGGCCCAATGGGGGATCGAAAGTTTTACATAAGAACATACAGAAAAAATATTTCTTCTCAAGAACAGAAAAGCTATGTTTAGTCATATTGATATGGAAGCATCCTCAGGTAGTGTAGATTCAAGTTTGTTCAAATATTGACCTCTGGGATAGGGAGGAGCCACAATGGGGGATCAAATTTTTTCAAAATTTACTCAAGTACAACAAAGACATTTGTTATAACCCCCCCCCCACCCCCACCCCCCCCCCCCCACCCCGGGTAACCTTTTCAATACTGAACTGATTTGTGCTTTTGCCTAGCCAATGTGCTCAGGTGAGCGATGTGGCCCATGGGCCTCTTGTTATTTCTACAATTGATTTTGCCTTGTCTTCTTATTAATAGAAATTTCTATAAAATTCTTTCAAAACATTGATCCTCCTACAGTTTTGGTTGGATTTCAATCAGACTTGGTACACTAGTAGACTGTACTAAGTAACAATTAACACTCTTTATTATAAATACACACCAGTGGAGCTACATCTTATCAGAAACTTCTGGTTTGCACTTTAAATCTGTATCCTTTTTGTATTCCAAACCTGTTAATGTATTCCATTTGGGCAATTTACTGTTGAAGTCACTTCATCCATGGGTCAGCTTACTGATCTTGCTATTAACAGGTTGGGACAAAAGAGTCCTTTAAGTCGATCTTTTTTTTTTTTTTTAAAAAAAGAGAGAGAAATGAGGGAAATTAAATTGAATGTCATTATATATTGTACAATGTATTATTTCTGAATGGTACGTTACACATATTTTCATATGTACACAATCGCAAAAACCTAGAGAAAGACTTGCAAATTAATGTAGCTTATAATGTTTTCTCTCTGTCAGCAATGTGCATGTTTTCATGTAATAACATTCATGTTTTAGAAGATTTATCAAAAATGTATAGGTATTCTTAGCATGCTTAGTGTGGGAGTTTTTTTAGGGAGTTTATGTATGAACAATGAAATAAGTTTTAGAAAAGAACAGCAGTAGTGTGTTTAAAAAAAAATGTATACATTTATGATCATTGAACTCACTAAATGTGGTCATTTCTATCTTTTCAGGGATACGTCTGAGAATATTTGATCTTATATGCAAGTTGCTGTTATGTATTTTGTACATTGTGCGAGTGTCCCTGGACAGACCTGTAAACTATCAATGGTAAGTATATATATTAACAATAATATCCATAATATTTTTTTTGTCCCAGATGCATTAATGTTAATACAATCATGACATGTCCTCTATAAAGTAATTCAGTAGGTTTTTTTTTTAATTTCCTCAAGAAGATATTGAAACATGCATTTGCCTAAAGTATGTGTGTTTTATATCAAGTTAATATTTTTAAAACTTTTCTATCATAAATATGTGAATTTAATTTTAACAATATTTCATTATGTAATGAATATGATAAGATACAACAACATGTATATTTGTATTATGTCCATAAATAAAAGGGTGGTATTGAGAAATGGACACAATTCTCGTGTGACACTTGCTAAATCTTCAAATGTGTGCTGTTTTAACAGCCATAAAATTGCCAAATTGTTTCAAGAAATGGCTTGTCATTCTCCTTCTGACCTTGTAAAGTAAGGTTTCAAAATTCTTCTTACAGAAAAAAGTTCTCCTTATTGGTCATAAAACCATTGAACATTGATATGTAGGGGATATTTCATGTCATAAATGTTCAGCACTGAATGTTACATACTTGATATAAAATGGTGACTATATGTAAATTGAAGTAGAACATACACTATAAATATTGTGTTCATAGAGATTATATGGTTATTGTCCTATTTGGAAATAAAAAACATGTCTACTTGTACCATGGGATGGAATGAGTAAGAAATCATAGGGGAATTTGCTGAGTGGTTCTTGTTTTGTCATACAATATTCTTCTGTCCAACTGGGTGGAGACAATTTGTTTTGATCAAAATTTGTCTCTTGTCTGTTGTTGTCCTTGTCGGTGATGGTGTCGGCATTGTAAACTTTTTATGCCCTCCTTCAAAGAAGGGAGGGCATATTGCTTTGTTGCTGTCTGTCGATCTGTCTGTCTGTCTGTCCACCAATAGATTCCATTCATTTTCTTCAAAGAGGTTGCACATACTGAAATGAAATTTGGTATACAGATTTATCATAAGAATATCAAGGTCAAGTTCTGTTTTGGGTATGATCGAGCCCCTTGGACTTAGAAAAAGTCCAATTACAGTCAAACCTCATTATCTTGAACTTGAAGGGACCGAGAAAATACTTTGAGATAACTGAGGATTCGAGATATCCAGGGTAAAATACTGTACAGCAGGAAATTAACTCGCGAAGTTAATATTCGCTATATTCGCGGAAATAAAAATTCCGCGAATTCTAAATACAGTGAATAATCCTCCAAAAATTGATAAGGATAAATTGAAATATACCGATATCTGTGATTAGATTCGTTAACTCTATTTGTTTTTCCTTGCAAACATAAAAGCAGTAATTAATATAGATGTAGACTGTCTTCCTAATTATGCGGGTGTACGGATCAATTGATTTACTAAGACGTACTGAGTTGGTTTTTTTTAAATCTTAATTGATAAATAAACATCTATAACTAACATTTAATTCTGCCACCCAGTAGAGGTGCGATGTAATTATCTGTAGAACATGAGGCCTATTGTTAGATTTCACCCGAGCGTATCACTCAGTCCTATTATCTTTAATCAAGGCACTTACGTAGTAAAGACAACACTGTTACACATTAATTCAATTTTATTAACAGTTCAACATTTTGATTACCGGTACTGACAACTTATTTAGATTCAGGGAGATTTAAATATACTGCAGTAAATACTACTCTGTACTCTACTCAAAACACACCTATGAACGAACACCTGCCAAAGGGCCTTTTTTAGCTCTACTGGTCAGAGACCAGAAGAGCTTATGCGATAGTAAGGTGTCCGGCGTCCGTCCGTCTGTCTGTCTGTCTGTCTGTCCGTCTGTCTGTAAACAATTTTTCAAAATGCTACTCCTCCTACAGTTTTGGTCTGATTTCAATATAACTTGGCACACAGGTAGACTACACTAAGATACATAATCTAGTGCATTGGTTTTTGATTTGGATGAGCGGTGTTGCCATGGTTACTAAAAATAGAAATTTCTTTGAAATTCCTTTAAAACGCTACTCCTCATACAGTTTTGGTCTGATTTCAGTATAACTTGGCACACAAGTAGACTACACTAAGATACATAATCTAGTGCATCGGTTTTTGATTTGGATGAGCGGTGTTGCCATGGTTACTAAAAATAGAAATTTCTGTGAAATTCCTTTAAAACGCTATTCCTCATACAGTTTTGGTCTGATATCAATATAACTTGGCACACAAGTAGACTACACTAAGATACATAATTTAGTGCATCGGTTTTTGATTTGGATGAGCAGTGTTGCCATGGTTACTAAAAATAGAAATTTCTTTGAAATTCCTTTAAAACCCTACTCCTCATACAGTTTTGGTCTGATTTCAATATAACTTGGCAAACAAGTAGACTACACTAAGATACATAATCTAGCGCATCGGTTTTTGATTTGGATGAGCGGTGTTGCCATGGTTACTAAAAATAGAAATTTCTGTGAAATTCCTTTAAAACCCTACTCCTCATACAGTTTTGGTCTGATTTCAATATAACTTAGCACACAAGTAGACTACACTAAGATACATAATCTAGTGCATCAGTTTTTGATTTGGATGAGCGGTGTTGCCATGGTTACTAAAAATAGAAATTTCTGTGAAATTCCTTTTAAACGCTACTCCTACTACAGTTTTGGTCTGATTTCAATGTGATTTGGCATACAAGTAGACTCTATTAAGATTCATAATTTAGTGCATCGGTTTTTGATTTGGATGAGCGGTGTTGCCATGGTTACTAAAAATAGAAATTTCTGTGAAATTCCTTTAAAACGCTACTCCTCATACAGTTTTGGTCTGATTTCAATATAACTTGGCACACAAGTAGACTACACTAAGATACATAATTTAGTGCATCGGTTTTTGATTTGGATGAGCGGTGTTGCCATGGTTACTAAAAATAGAAATTTCTTTGAAATTCCTTTAAAACCCTACTCCTCATACAGTTTTGGTCTGATTTCAATATAACTTGGCAAACAAGTAGACTACACTAAGATACATAATCTAGCGCATCGGTTTTTGATTGAATGAGCGGTGTTGCCATGGTTACTAAAAATAGAAATTTCTGTGAAATTCCTTTAAAACCCTACTCCTCATACAGTTTTGGTCTGATTTCAATATAACTTAGCACACAAGTAGACTACACTAAGATACATAATCTAGTGCATCGGTTTTTGATTTGGATGAGCGGTGTTGCCATGGTTACTAAAAATAGAAATTTCTGTGAAATTCCTTTTAAACGCTACTCCTACTACAGTTTTGGTCTGATTTCAATATGATTTGGCATACAAGTAGACTCTATTAAGATTCATAATTTAGTGCATCGGTTTTTGATTTGGATGAGCGGAGTTGCCATGGTTACTAAAAATAGAAATTTCTGTGAAATTCATTTAAAATGCTACTCTTCCTACAGTTTTGGTCTGGTTTCAATATAACTTGGCACACGAGTAGACTACACTAAGATACATAATTTAGTGCATCGGTTTTTGACTTCTATGAACGATGTTGCCATGGTTACTAAAAATAGAAATTTCTGTGAAATTCCTTCAAAATGAAATTCCTCCTACAGTTTTGGTCTGATTTCAATATAACTTGGCACACAAGTAGACTACACTATGATACATAATTCAGAGCATCAGTTTTTTATTTTGATGAACGATGTTGCCTTGGTTACTAAAAATAGAAATTTCTGTGAATTTCTTTTAAAACGCTACTCCTCCTTCAGTTTTTATTTGATTTCAATTTAACTTGGCACACAAGTAGACTATATGAAGATATATAATTCTATTTATTGCTGCATGTTGCAAAGTTTCGAATCCAAGTGCTACTTTTTCTTTGTTACATGTATATGTACAGACTTGTAGAGCTACAGTCTCATCAGAGACTTCTGGTTTACATGAATGTATTGGATACGACTTGAAATCACTTGAATAAATCACTCGAGTATAGACTCATATGTATTTCAAAAATAAAAGAAAGAAAGAAAACACGAGAAAGAAAGAAAATTTATGTGAATGCGTAATATTATAAATCGTACAACATTTTGTCTTCTAATCGGGATCAGTCCGGTGTTTCGTTCTTTTTAATCGGGTTCAGAATCGACACAATACGCAAGGAAAATACTTTCAGTGTGGAAAGTTTTTTTTGCATAATTTTTCCTTTCCGCGAATTCAAACGACCGCAATTTGCTGCAAGTTGAACAAATTGCGATCTTTTCCAACCGCGATTTTAACCTGCTGTACAATACATAAGGAATAAGTTGTTGGGACTTCAACATATCCATGGTATTCAAGATATCCGTGTTGGAGATACCGAAGTTCAACTGTATTTGCAGTATACATTCATTTTCTTTGCAGAGTTTGCACATACTGTAATGAAATTTGGTATACAGATTTATCATAAGAATATCTAGGTCAAGTTCTTTTTTGGATACGTTCAAGCAATTTTTGATAGAGCTATGCCCCTTGGACTTAGAAAAATTCCAATTATTTGCAGTTTCCGTTTATTTTCTTTGCAGAGGTTGCACATACTGAAATGAAATTTGGTATACAGATTTATCATAATAATATCTAGGTCAAGTTCTATTTTGGGTACGATCTAGCAAACCCTATAATGTATGTCTGGGGAGGGGGGGGGATAAGTGTTTCACAAACATCTCTTGTTACAATTTCAGCTTCTTCTCCAGAACAGCTGAGCCAATTCAACCAAACTTGATACAGAGTACCATCGGGTGAAGGGGATTCAAGTTTGTTCAAATGAAGGGCCACAACCTCTTACAAGGGGAGATAATTAAGAATTTGTGAAAATTTGGTGGCATCTTTTGAAATTCCTTTCCTCAAGAACTGCTTGGCCAGAAAAGTTGAAACTTATATGAGAGCTTCATTACATACTCACTGTAGGTTCAAGTTTGTTCAAATCATGACCCCCGGATGTAGGACAGGGCAACAACAGGGGTCAAAGTTTTATATAGGATTTTTTAGGAAAATCTTTTTAAAAAATTCTTTTCAAGAACAGCAAAGCCATGATTAGTCATATTAATACAGAAATATCCTCAGGTATTGTAGGTTCAAGATTGTTTAAATTGTAACCTTTTGGGGTAGGATGGGGCCAAAACAGGAATCAAAATTATACAAAAATTATAGGAATATTTTTAAAAAAAATCTTCTTCTCAAGAACAGCATGTGAAATAGTTCGAATCTTGTCTGGGTATTGTTTCCTGTATTAGTATTAAGTTGTGTTAGGGTCTCACTCAATGTCATCTCTCCACGGTTAATGTCAAGGCTTGAGGAGGTTGAAGTTTGCAATTCTTATCAAAGCCATACCCTAATAATGCCACTGGTATGGTTTTCAGCCATCTTGATTCAGTGAGATGTCACCATGCAGGGTCATACAGTGATGACCAAGAGTTTTAATGGGAGAGACATTATTTTTTAGGTCACCTGAGTAACTCAGATTTCCTATTGTTATTCATTTTTGTCTATCTTGTTCTTTTATATAGCCAGAACTTTTAAAATTATTTTAAAGAAATTGAAATATTTTGAAGAAACAATTACTGTATAGGGGATTAATTTCACGGGTTGTAATTTTCACGTTTTTCTCTCCTCTGACACGATCGCAGTTTGTTGAATTCGTGGAATCGGTATATAATAAAGGTTACATGTACCTCCCTTCAATGTCTATATCCGTTTTATTCATAGCATAGCTAGAACGACATTAATCAGCGTTATGTATTCACTTCACAAACAACAGGGTAGATTTATATAAAATAGTTAGATTTAATAATTAATTGACGACTAACTAAAACAAGTGCAGTTATTCAAAGTCCTTTACTATAAACGTCAAATTACTTCCTATATGCTATTACGATGAGTGTATGTACACCCCAAGATCTTCTTTCCCTGGGGATAATACATCGCGGCGAAAAGCCACTGGACAGTAAGAAATGTGTTAATGTAGGTCGACGAAATAATATCCATCCAGATCATCAGCAAGTTCGATAGTTATTTGAATGATTTTTTAAAAACCAAAATGTCGATAAAAACATGATAATGCAGGTAACAAATACATGTGGTAACGTAGTTACGCATGGGTAATCAAAACCCATGACCCACGTGTTTTGATTGATGAAACATGTAGCGTTGGCTATTAAAACAGTTTTTTTTTTTTTTTTTTTTTTTACAATTACAGGTTATTATCTGCTGAATGATCTAAATTAAAGTAAAGCGTGATAATTAAAATAATTGAATGACAAGTACGACTCGTAATAACGTTAATGACCATGTACTGCACGTATATTTACCTATCGTAGTATATTCTCAAATTTCCAAATAAAACATGGAAGTTATTGAAAACTTATTCACTGTTTCTTGAATTCACGGATTTATTTACACCGTGAATATAGCGAATATTAACACCGCGAGTTATTTTCCCCCTATACAGTAAATGATTCATCCATTGATAAATATATGTACATTCAAGGTAACACAGCTATGGATGTCTAGTTCCATTTCTTGTAAGATCTTGTTGATTAATAATCTTGATGTACTTTTTTCTCTGGAAGCTAGTAGATGTTTTAATATTTTAAGGTCTTAAGTATACAGCCATTTTGAAGAAGAAAATTTTGCATGCTAAAGTGGTGTCAAACAATTAATGTCTGACAGTTTTTTGCTGAAGTTTAGTAAGTTTTTTTTTTTTTTTTTTAAATTTGTTTTAAACTTTTAATAGAAAAATGCAAATGAAAGCTTTATATATCTTAGCAATTTGCATTTTTCTGAAGTTTTAACAGACATAATAAATTATATACTTTTTTAAAAGTAGCACTTTTTATGTTTTTTGTAGTATAATGTAGCATAAAACACTTGTCATCATTAAACATGAAACATACATTTTTTTGACAGTTGTATTTAAAAATATAAATTATTCGCCATAAACTGTAGCTAAGTATTGCTTTTACTACTTTTTTCAATAAATCTTGTGATTTCTTGAAGCTATTGTAGTTTTCTATCAGTGAAGATCCCCCCTCCCAAGCCACCCAATTGAAATCAAAAACAAAAATAATGTTTAAATTATCTACAGTGTATAAATTTTAACCATAATACAGTTCTGTGCAAAAAAATCAGACTTTATAAATACCTTCATGAAATAATATTTTTTTTTAAATGGAGGATGGGGGTAATTGCATTTTGAATTTTTATTGTTTTAAAATTTCAATTGCTTATTAGAATAATAATTTGACTAGCTTATTATAGATATCTATCAACTGGTAGTTGCACATATATAATTATATTTCTGCATGCAGTTTCAACATTTTTTTAACAAGGCAATTAATTTTATAAATGACATATGTTAATGCAATTTAATTTGAATTATTTTGCTTTATTTTGGAGAACCAAATTTTTGCACTTCTCATGATATTTCATCACACATATACCACCAGCTTTGAATTGGATTGATAATAAAAATGTTTGTGACGTCAATAAATATGTCACAAAATTGAAAAAGAGATGACATCTTTCCATGGAAGTGAAATGTATTTTATCAAAAGACAAGCTATATTAATCGTTTTCTCTTTGTCAATTGTCACAGGTAAAAGTAAAATGAAAATAAATTAAACTTTCTTCTGAAGGAAAAACATCTGCCATTGATTAGAGTTAATTTACACAGCTAGATATATAAGTTTCTCCTTCATTTATTTGCTGCCCTCTTGTATACTATGTGTTGACAAACAGTTCACTGATTTATGGGCTAGAAAACTTAAAGCTGGGGTCATTTGCAAAGTATAGATGTTTTTATCTTGGGTCACCAGTTTTGAATGTTCAACAGAAATCAGTTGTGAGAAATTATAGTCTGTATCAAAGATTGACTGTAATGGTAGCACTAGATTTCTTGGGAGGATTTAGGAGGAGTATTTTATATAACTTCCTCTTTTTCTTAGTGATGGGCTCATTTTTCATGTCATCTCAGTGCAGCAGATCAACAAAAATAAAAATCCATTGACTAATATCTGTTTTCTGTTTGTTTGTACATGTATAATTCTTGTGATATATGTAATATACAGTCCTGAGTATATATTATTACTTAAGAGTGGAGTACATATAAAAATTCTTATGTAAATTAATAGAGAGATGATTTTTTCAAATATAAATTTGATGTACAATTTTACAGCAATGGACACCAATGTGGCACTGGGAACGAGACGCACACTCTGCCCCAGGATGATGGAAGTATGAAATTTTCCTCTACAGCCATCAACTGGTTTGTATATACATTATCTATACTATTGCTAGGGTCAACAGAGTTCAGGGTTCAAAATTAATTTTTGTTTCCTTGAGCAAACTTAAGCTACCATCATGACAAAAACATTTACTTGCAAAATTGAAATTCACCAGCAATTTTCAGAAATTATTTTGTAAAATAGTAAATTAAAGCTAAATTAAGTCCAGTGTAAAAATGTAAATTACTTGAATTGTAATTTCAAAAATATGACATTTAAAAATAATATATATCAAAATTAATAATCAATTATGATAAAAAATGATAAATCAAAAAAAAATTAGTTGTATCTTGAGTAATGAGTTTATTTTTTGTTTTTAACTCCTAGATACTATAAGCAGGCAAATTTTAATTCCTATCAACTTCTTAATGGCAGTGGAATTTCTCATGCAAATACTTATCCATGCTTGTGAATAAAGTACTATATTAAAAAAGTAGCTGGCAGGATTGGAACCAGCATTAGTCTTATCAGTGCCACATAAACTAGTCATAAATCCTGCATTATTTAAAATGTTAAAATGTTAAAATTCATGGATTTTAGAGATGGAACTTGCTTTAACTTTGCACTTAACAAGTTGTGCTCTAATATGCATAATAATATGTTTGTATTTTAAATGTTCATATTTATAAATAATGTACAAGTGCCTTGGTACACCAGTGTGTGTTTTATTACTGAGCTATTTGCTGTATTTGTGGTTTTAATATGGATAAAATTTATTTGAAGTCCTCCAGATATTTTTAGCACTTTTTGCTCTGTACTGATTGATTGCTGATATTTGATATACTTGAATAAACAATGGTTCAATATTATTGTGCATGAAACAGACATAGCGTATCTGTCCTATTAAGTGACCTGGGCATAAGGGGAAAAAAAGCATTTATTAGGTATGCATGTTGTGTAAAATTATGCTCTAATACAAGACATTTATAGTATTCAAATAAATAGAAACATACTTTTATTAATTAAAGAACTACCATTTAAAATGCATGTTAAAAATGGTAAATGTCCCAACATTCTAAAAATAAAATGTGACAAAAAACTTCTGAAACAATGAACATCTTAAGATTAGGCTTAAACAATGTAAACATGTCATTCCAAGAATAAATTTATTAAATATCCTCAATGCATAGTGATCTAATCCTTTAAAGTAAAATTACATGTATAGGGTAAGAATATTTGAGAAAAAATGGGGTGGGTGGGGGGTTCCCTTATTCTTGGTGAAAAAGGTCCCAGGGGGCACTTATAGGAAGGGGCACTCAATAGGACTGATGCAGTATTTAAGCAGTAATTAAGCAATAGAAATAAATTCTTGTTCTGTTTATTAAGCTTGGCTAATTTTAACTTTCAATTAGCCATTAATTTACAAAAAAAAAGTAATAATCATAAAGTCATAAATTTCAAAACAGAGAAAAGAAAAATGTGCTCAATATCATAAAATCAATTTTTGTGCATGTAAGTATTTCACTTTGCTTTAATATATGTAAAATTACTAGTATTAAGTGACCTTCACTTTTGTTTCCATTGAACTCACAGGGTAAAATGAGGACAAACAGATTGAATTTATTGCTCAGTGTATTTACATTACCTTATTTTTCTGGAATATACTGCATAATTTAAATCTGTCAATTTCCACAAGTTAACTTTAGTTGTGGTGATCAAAAGCTACCCAATCTCTCTCTATGAAAAGAACAGGGTGATATCATTATAAGTATGAAATTGCCTGCATTTTATAAGCTAAGACGCTATTTTCTGAGCAGTCTATCCCAAATTGATTTGTGATGAATTTCATTTGTAATGTATAGACTTAAGTTACATATACATGTATCAGTTTACAGTAAATTCATATTGTGCAGGGGCAGTGCATGCATAATAGTGCATTTGTTATCAGTGTCAGTATTTTCTTCCTTTACTATGAAACCATTATAGATATCAGCAAATAGGATTATTTTATCAAATAAATGGCTATTTTATTTGACTCATGTAGTTTTAATTTCAGTCCATGGGACTGATCCTGCTTTGATGTTAGATAAATACCAGAAAACTATACACATGCAAACTTGTGTCATGTACCAAGATACATCTATGCATAAAATTTCTGAAAACTAAGGAGCTGGATATAAACTTTTATATTTAAGAGGTATTTGAGAAATAATCTGAAAATTCATGTGTATGAAAGTCGATATATCTGTTGACAAATGATAAAAGATTTCAACATGAATTATGGAAAAAATGATGATCCAGGTGTATATTTAGTTTTTTTTTCTGTGTCTCAGTCATCTAACCTTGACTATATAAATACAGAGTACTGGTATATAGCATTACAATGCATATGTTGTGTACACAGTTAAAGATTTCATATTTGGAGGTGTTAATTAAAAATTAAGTCCAATCATTTTGCTGCATTAAGCTACAAAGACCCTTATTTGTATGGAAATTTCAGTTGTTGTTTATAAGTTTACTCTTAAATCTGTGTAAAATGAAAATGTAAATCAAAATTATCAGGTCATTACAAGTGAAATTTTAAATGTACATGTTAGAAGCTAAAATTTCTTATTTATAGGTATGTGATATTATGGGTGGAGCGTCCCCTGTTTCTATGGCTATTCCAGAGCCTCTTATCTATCATAACTCTCACCAAGGCCTGTCTGGACATGTTTATTGTCTCCAAGGTTGGTAGTTTTACAACATCATGACCCTCATCAAGGCCTGATCTCACACACTTTATCTTCAAGGCTTGTGTTTTGTTTGTTTTTTTTTTTGTATAGTAATCCTTCCTTCACAGTATGTAGCCCAAAGGATTCCCTAAATAGAAATCTTTAAAACGAGGGAGAAAATTGTTTTCTGATAAAAGTTATTCTGCATAAAAAAACTAGTACCTGTCTGCATTTGGTATGAAATCTTTCGCTTGTCACATAGCGAAAAAAATTGCTAGATTTGACATAAGAGGAGAAAACATGCATTTCCTCTTTTCAAAGCTGTGTTTATGACTTTATTTTTCACCAGTATTTTTCTGGATGGTAGGACTACATGTATGTTTGTATCTAAAGAGATGTAAAGAAAAAATGTGGTCAGCTCTTAAATTGATATCTGTTTTATACATGTATTGAACAATATTTTACAAAAGGCTTTTCTCTATTTTTTTGTCAACCATTTCAAGAACAGCAGGGCCACACTAAATCCACTAAACTCATGGTTAAGGTACCAAGATGGGGCTGAATTTTATATTGAGAATTCATAACAATGTTGAAATCCTGAGGCCCTTGATTCAGGTCCCAGGGTTGGGCTATGTAGGTCATATATTGAAAAATCAAAACAATTTTGAAAATTTTCTTTTCTAAAGGACATCTAGTGTGCAAGCTATTTTTTATTAATACAGTGAGTAATAATTCTTTACCAAAATTGGAAAATTCATGTCTGCTGGGTCTATAGGCATTCAGGCTTTGGGTGGAGCTAAGTTATCATACATGTACATTGAAAATACATAAAATAAAACTTTGAAAATTTTCATGTTTACTCTTGGACATCTAGCAGACAAACTGTTTACATGATTACAACAAACACTTAGACCCTTACCAGAATTGTAAAATTCATACCCCCTGGGTCATGGTTCAGGCCTGGGAATGGGGCAGTTGGTCATACAGTTGAACTTTGGTATCTTGAACATCAGTTATCTCAAATACCATGGATATGTCAAAGTGATTGGAAGTTCCAACCACTTATTATGACGTCGAGCTCTTGGAGCTCGAACGTCATCTAGCAAGCGCCCAGTTCAAATCGCGACCGGTGATGTACGCGACCGAATGTGTCAGTCGATGCATCCGCAATAGAAAATAGCAATAGCTACGTGTATAAACCACATTTCTTTGAAAACACTCATATTGAATAATAGCTTGAAAATAAAATTGCATCAATTATATCTGCAATTAATTCCATTGCAAATCAACGATATTATGTTTTATTTTCAAACAAGAAAAACGTGATGGTTGTTGCGGATGAATTTCTACAGAAAGGGTGCGTTGAATGACATGAATAACATTTCGGAACGATAACCGTGTAACGTAAACGACACAAAACAGGAGGTAAAATAATTACAAAATTACCTAAACACGAATACTACAAGACTAAAAAGATGGAATTTCTAAATCTTCGCTTTACTTATACAATCTTCTAACCAACTCTATCCTAAAAACCGATGATATTGACCAGTATTACTGTATTTCGCCATTTCCTCCATTTCCCAGTATACCGTATACCACGCCCGATCGTAACTCGATCGTAATTTTAACAGAACAGAGTCTTGGTTGTAGTTTAGATGCAATCACTTATACAACGTTTTGACATTGGCAATCAGAAAAAATATTATATAAATTCATGAAATCCTTCATAGTTCTTCAATTGACTGAAAACATGTTCGACGGTGTCTGGTCAATTCGAACCCTGCTCCATTCGGACCATGACATAAGGCCCCAGACTGCAATTGTGATATTTTGTTTAAAACTATTTTTTTTATTATGTCTCCTGAGTCACTCACTTGACTTATTGCTATTTTCAAATTCAAAAAGATCTTTTGAAATTGTTTTTCTCGTTCGACGTCATTGAAGCCTTTCAGGCTTTTGATTTTTTGGTATTTTACTCTGGATATCTTTTTTCTCAGTCCAATCAAATTCAAAATAACGGGGTTTGACTGTATATTGAAAATTCATTTCATGTTTCAGAATTTTTATGCCCCGCCATGAATATGGCCGGGGCATATAGTGTTTGTCATGTCCGTCTTCCGCCCTTCCGTCACACTTTGCATTTAGCTCTGTTCAAAGCTCAGTTTCAAAGAAACTATCCAAGATATTTTTATCAAACTTCATATACTGATAGATATTGATGAGAGCTATTCAACTGCATCAACATTTTTTTACCTTGACCTTTCATTTGACCTTGACCTCACTTTTCTTAAATTAAGGTTTAGCTCAGTTTTAAAGATACCATTCAAGGTAGTGTAATCAAACTTCATATGTTGATACATACTGATGAAAGCTATTCAACTGCATCAACATTTTTTGACCTTGACCTTTCATTTGACCTTGACCTCACTTTTCTTAAATTAGTGTTTAGCTCAGTTTTAAAGATACCATTCAAGATAGTGTAATCAAACTTCATATGCTGATATATACTGATGTAAGCTATTCAACTGCATCAACATTTTTTGACCTTGACCATTCCTTTGACCTTGACCTCACTTTTCTTAAATTAGTATTTAGCTCAGTTTTAATGAAATCATTCAGGATATTTTTATGAAACTTCATATGCTGATACATACTGATGAGAGCTTTTCAACTGCATCAATATTTTTTGAACTTGACCTTTCCTTTGACCTTGACCTCACTTTTCTTAAATGTTTAGCTCAGTTTTAAAGATACCATTCAATACAGTGTTATCAAACTTCATATGTTAATACTTAAGGAATAACTGTCTAATTTTTTGGTTTCATGATGTGATCAATCGATTGGCTGGCGTGATAATTTGCATAAATGCCAAATGCATTTATGCATAAAATTATCACGCAAGCCAATCGATTGATCATCGTCATGAAACCAAAAAATCTGACAGTTATTCCTTATATTTACATGCTCTTGATTCTGCAAATTCACATGCTACAAGCCCTGCTTCTGTCTCTATTTGTCCCCCCCCCCATGTGATTTTTTTTTCACCACGCCTATCAATGAACCAGTAGATTTATGCAGAAATAAAGTATTTTTACTATTTGAAATTTTATCTCGGACAAAGACATTGGAAATGTAAATATGTATATACTGATGAGAGCTATTCAACTGCATCAACATTTTTTGACCTTGACCATTCCTTTGACCTTGACCTCACTTTTCTTAAATTAGTGTCTAACTTCATATGCTGATACATACTGATGTAAGCTATTCAACTGCATCAATATTTTTTGACGTTGACCTTTCCTTTGACCTTGACCTCACTTTTCTGAATTTGTGTTTAACTCAGTTTTAAAGAAAGCATTCATAATATTTTTCTAACTTCAAATGCTAATACATACTGATGTAACCTTTTCAACTGCATCAACATTTTTTTACCTTGACCTTTCCTTTGACCTTAACTTCATTTATTTTAAATTAGTGTTTAGCTCAGTTTTAAATAAACCATTCAAAATATTTTTATCAAACTTAAATATGCTGATACGTATTTGTGAGAAGTATTCAACTGCATCAAAAACATTTGACCTTGAACTTTCCTGTGACCTTGACCTCACTTTTCTTAGATTTGTATTTTGCTTAATTTTAAAGAAACCATTTAAGATATATTTATGTAAGTTTATGCACTTATACATAATTTGGCGAGAATTTATCATCTATATCCAACTTTTTAGATTTCAATTCTAAAGAAACTATTCAAGATATTCTCATCAAATTTCATGCAGTAATACAAATTTTCATGTTGCATTACTAATATACCCTCGGCGGGGCATTCATGTCCTATGGACATATTTCTAGTTTTTTTCTAATGAGATCTTGTTGGCATCCTAATTTTATGATGACAATGGATGCATTGTTACAGTAACCCTTTACCAAAATTTGAAAATTTATGTTTGCTGTCTCCAGCATTCAGGCCTTACTGGGTGGGGCTAAGCAAGTCAAATTTTGTAAATATATTATAACACTTTTGAAAGTCTTCATATTTACCCATGGATGTCTGGCAGAAAAAAAATTGCAAGATTATAATGATTACTACTTAAGCCTTCTTCCAAAATTGTAAAATTCATGCCCCCTTTTCCTCCATGGCCTTTGGTTCAAGCCTCCTTAAATTTAGGATGCAAGCTGCATAAATATGATAATGATTATAGAGTTCTCCTCAATTTATAAAATGTTTTTGACATAAGTCCAGGCCAGTTCCTGGTGGGGCCAAATTAGAGGCCTTAACCTGAAAAATTCATGGTGCTCAGGTGACCATTAGGGCCCATGGGCCTCTTGTTTTGTAAATAGATTTACCAAACTTGTACAGAAATCAAAATTTATTAAATTATTAAAATAATAGAATCAGATAAATTATTCACATTTTCAGTTGATAAAAAATAAATATTTGTCTTATTTTTTCATATTTATGCCTTCATTTAAAAATAAAGGGACATTCAGGTTCACATTCGTTGATCAGTCAGTCGTTTGATAGCAAAACTAAGTGTTGTCTACTTAATGTCTTGAAAACTCTTTGTTTGATAAACATCAAACTTGATTCAATGGTAGCCCTAAAAAGTAGAGGATTCTATGGATTTTGAGGTCACAAGGTCAAAGATCAAGGGTCAAACTACTCTAAACAAAGAAAAATGTTGTCCACTCAATATCTTGATAGAAATCAAACTTTGTACACTGGTCCTTATATTTTATATTGAGGACAAAAAGTCAATTAAAGGTCAAGAGTCCAAATACTTTGGACATAAGAAAACCTTGTCCACTTAATATCTTGTGAGATCTTTGGATGACAGACATCAAACTTGATGCACTGGTACCCATGCCTAAGGATTGGTTGAAGTCTCAAGGTTGAAGGTCATGACTCAAATGACCAGTTATTTTAATATCTTTAGAACCCTTTGCCTGATAGAGATAAAAAGCATTGTAGTTGCTCGTGTCTATTACCTTACCCATAGCTTTCACTAGTACTATCACTATAGAAATTCTAAATTTAAAAATTGATCCTAAATTTTGAAATTATTGCCACATGAGAAGCAAATACGATACATTTCTTGTGTTTGTATTTCCTTTTAGAAATTCAAAATAATAGAAATAGTTTATGAAGTATATTTCTAGAATTTTAAACATACAGGTAATTCTAAGGTGACAAGTAATTAAACTTAAATGCCATAAAAACAATGATCAAATCACCTGGCATTTTGGAATGGAAGTAATTACCCTGGTAGTGATTTTTAGAAAATGGGAATAGTGGATGGTACCATGTTATGCAATCACCTCCAACAAAGCCTGCTATATCAGCTGAAACTTTTAGACATTAAATTTACGCATTAGCATCAAAAAGATTAAAAAAAAATAATTAAAATTCAGGGGATTGAATATTGAAAAGTTTATTTGACATGGCTATACATGTAAATAGTCAATTTAATGATCTTTGTTTTTTACTGTACAGATATTATGTGTTACAGGGAACCTTCATAGAAAAAGCAACACAAGATTGCTTTATCCTGGAGCTAGTATGCTCCATCCCTTTCCTAGTAACTGTGAGTATACCCTTTCATTATAACTAGCTCTCTGTTGTTTTGTGCTGTATTCTGATGTAGATATCAAACTGCCTTGATAGAGAAAAAAATCACAGGAAATGTCATGCATGTGATTTTATATTGGTATCAAAATCAATGCATTCCACAAGTTCTTTTCCTATGAATGTTCCTATAGTTACAGATAAAATGTGCACCCTATCTATTAATCTAAAGTATTGATTAACAATCCATGCAGTCAGTGTCCATGTCTTTTGTTTTAAAGTGATGTTGTAACATGTTAATAAAATTTGTACAATGTGAAAGACAGAAAATATAATGTCTATTAAATCAATGTACTTTAATTTTAATGAAATACATTTTCAGAGGAGTACATGTAAAAGTATTGTAGAAGTGTAGTTATTGTACATATAATTTTGACTTTTAGGATCACTGCATTAACCTGTGAAGATTAATTTTGTTATATACCTAGGGATGAAGTCTATTTTGTCACCCAAAATTGAATTGTTGAGAAGAAATTCACAGGGACTCTATTGACATGATATGGATGTCTTTTGAACTCAGAGTAAACTTGCTCACTGTGTTTTGTAACAAAGGTAGTCTGATATGTAAGTGTTTGTGACATATGATAATAATACAGTTTTCTGAACTCTTGCAGTTATTTCACCCCCCATTTCTGATGAATCTCTACGTGCCAAGCTTTCTCAATGTGTGGCTGGTAAAGAAATCTCTGGAGAAGCTCTTTGTAAGTGTTGAAGGTCTGACAGTGAAGTGTCAGTGATAATGACAGGGGTTGGGGTAATGACACAAATTGAGAGGACAAGGGTTAGTTAATGTTGTCAGAACACATCAAGTCTGACAGAAACGTAAACAAAAAAACATCAAGTCACTCAGTGCAAAACTCAGTTCAATATCAGTAGGGGGTATTTTGAGGGCCATTTGTCTTTATTTTAGTGTCAGTGTTTGTGTAATTGAGTGTTTGTGAAAGTTTCTTGAATTTTAGTACCTTTGCTATCAAAGCTTTACCCTTTTTTTCGGCAGTTTTGCATTAATGAAAACTGATACAGTATGATTGAAAATTTCTTTGTTTTTTATACTGAAAATATTAATATATCAATCAGTACCCAAAGTTTTATCAGTTAATCTGAATCCATGTAAAGCTTTCCCAAAACTTCAGTACCTCTTTTCGTAGCACGTAGAAATGTGAGAGGACTTTGAGAGAAATTTAATAATCCATACTTTATAAAAAATACATACTGGTATATGAGATTCAAAACTGAAATAAACTGCATAATGCTTAGAATTTAACATTGAAAATTCCAAGATCAGTAACTGCAGAGCTTCTGGCCTGACACGTTCGTAATAAACTTCTGAATGGGGTACAAACTATTTCAGCCCAAATAATGAATGAATCAATCTGAGCCAGTAACAATTGAGTGCAGAGGACAACTGTTGTGACTTTGAGGACAGAGAAACAGGCCATACTTCTAAAAACTTTTTCCACATTAAATTTTTATTGAAAATCTATTGATATAATTGAAGTAGATTATTATTTTGTTTGTCTTGTGTACTAAACAAGACGGAACTGTCATTCTCAGCTGTTGCAGTTGGCAAGTGAATTGACTCATTGCAAATTAAGTTTTTAAAACAAATGAATTGACTCCAGGCAAATTAAGTTATGATGAGCTCTAGACACGTATATAAAATTACTGAAGCAATGAATATCACCAATCATCCCTCACCACCTAAGGCTATTTAGGTGATCATCAGATATGGGGATCAGCTTCCACTAACAAAATTATAATGTAAAACACAGGTGATACACTTTTTAAATTTTTACCTTGACCTCCACATGACCTTGATCTCACTATTAATTTTCTTGTATTTAACACACTTAGAAGAAACTGTTCACAATATTTTCATCAAACTTCATACACTAATACAAACTGGTGAGAGCTTTCCAACTTTGTCAAAATTTTCTTTCCTTGATCTTCCCATTACCTTGAAGATCACTTTTGAAGCTTTTTTTATCAAAATTTCATAATTATTAGGATGCTCTAAACACTGCACACTAAAGAGTTCTACTTATGGGGTAGTTTTATGCAGTTAGAGTGATCTGCCCTTAGAAGTAAAATAGAAAAAACGCTTATTTACAGTTAATTGCACAATTTGTAATAGATCAGAATATTCCTAGCATTATATTAGACCGAGAATAAGTAATTGAATTCATTTTTTCCATTAATTTTCCAATGTAAGTAAACAACAGTGATTTCTGCTCAAGCATAGTCCATTGTCTTTGAACATTTCTCCTGAGGAAATAAGGCAGGTACCCTATGTTGAACATGAACTAAATAGACTCAATATGCACACCTTTATATGATATTTTTCTCCAAGTCCAAAAAGCACTTTCTGTTAGTGTTTAGAGCTTCCTTAATACTGTAGATCACTAAACTTAATCATTGACTCTTTATTAGCAAGACAGAATATTCAGGAATTGTGAATTGCTCTATAAAATCTTTAGGAATACTAATATACACGAGAATGAAATTTTCGTGAGTACACTGTCTCACCTAATTAATAATGACTTGTTTTTTTTTCCAGAATGATTTACACTTGACGAAGCAGAGATTCCAGACAATCTCTGTGACATTATCACAACAGTTGTTCCTGCTGGTTGTTTCCATGGGTTGTCTTGTATTTACAACGTAAGTAAGCCACTCAAACATGAAACAAAGATTCTAATGGAGAATTCTTGACTCTTCTCAACTGTTGAAGAGAATTTTCAGTGATTTAACATTATATTAAATGTATGAGTACCAATATATTGAATTATTTTAAAAGGAAAGGAGTTTGATGCATAAATGTGTTGTATGCATATAATAAAATCATGTGATTTCTGAAAATAATCCTAAAGTGCAGTTAAGCTCTAGTCTTTTGTCTTACTTAGATTTTTTTATTGCAGGATTTGTGGTATACAGCACATACAGCGTAGCAGTGCTACGCATCCCCTGACGTTATTTGAGTCGTTTTACTTTGTGATCGTGACATTCTCCACGGTGGGATATGGAGACATCTCACCAGACAACTGGCTAGGACAACTCTTCATGCTCACTATGATCTGCTTAGCATTCGCCTTCATCCCTAGACAGGCATGTATTAAATTCTCCTTTTTACTGAAGCAGAATGTGCAGCAGTTCAGTGATAGGATGCAACATAGTCTACTATTTACTAAAAAATGAAATTTTTAAAATCTGTGACTTTACAACGAAAATAGATTTTTCAGGATACTTGTTATTTGTGACCCAGTATTAAATAAAAAGTAAGCACACAAAAATGGTAAAAACCTATAAAATCACAGTTATAAATTAATTAGTTTGGATCCTTTCAACGACTTGGATAGCTATTAAATTCATTCCTTAACTATAATTATATGGTTAGAAATCATACAATAGAGTTAGAGTAACAAAACTTTGCTTAAATTTTTGCTCTCAAGTCTCAACTGACAAGCCATTCCTTAGAATTATGTACGGTACTAAAAATACATTTGTACAATAGTCAAAATACTGCTGTAAAAATGTGGAAATGTGTCCAAATATTCATGATATGATGTTAACATTAAACATATCTGTACATGTATGTGTCTATAGCCATTATCATGATTAGAAACGGCTCCCAAAAATGATCAAAAATCTCGAATTCCAAATGATAGAATAGTGATTTGTTGAATTATGTGCACTACTGAATAAGATAGTACTATGTCACCTGCAGATAGAGGGAATACATTCCACGTGGAAGGAGCGTAAGAAGACTGGGGGAGAGTACAGTTCTCGACATGCCTCCGGACACAGACATGTCGTAGTCTGTACTAGCCATCTTAGTGCTGAGTATACCATGGACTTCCTGATTGAGTTCTATGCAAACAGGAAGTTAGAGGTACTGTCAACAAAAATGTCCAATTCAATATGTTTTTTACTTGATCTCCACAATCAAAAACTTTTCCTTAATTAAATTGTAAAATTTGAGAAACTTTATATATTGTCATTTTGCCTCATTATTTTCTGGGAAAAAAAGATATATCTCTTGTCATTGAAGGATCACATAGTAGTGCTTCTAAGTTCTGATGAGAAGGATACCAGTTTACAAATTATACTGAAGGATCCTAAATGGGCCCATCGTGTGATATACATGAAAGGGTCAGCACTTAAAGACACAGATCTACAGAGATGTAGGTAAGTCAAGGACATGGATGGGAGTTAGTGCTCAGTTGGACTCTATCAGGACATTGGAAAACTGCATTTGATAGATTATTTTTTAGTTATGTGATTTTTAAAGAACTAAAGATTTTGAAAAATAACATTCCAACACTTACATAATGATGTTGAATCAGTTGAAAAAGAATTTTAGTAAAAGCATTTGATATATTCATCAATATTCTCTGATGGCTAATATATTTCTTATGAAAGCAAAAGTAAGCCAGATAACATATTTTCACTTGGCAGAATTGGGTATCCATTCTGTACATTGCTTATATTGATTGTGTTTACAGATTACAGGAGGCAGATGCTTGCTTCATTCTGGCCCCAAGTAAATGTCACAATAGAGATGAGGCGGTAAGTCAGCATTCTGTGCTCTCTAGTCTCTATGAATCCGAAATCTTTCCACTACCAGACAGAGACATTTTGATCTAAAATTTCCCCAAAGTATTGTTACTGTGTCCAGATTAATTGTTGAATTCAATAGTAGTACATACAGTTGAACTTCGGTATCTCAAACACTGATATTTCGAATACCATGGATTTGTCGAAGTGATTTGGAAGTCCCAACCCCTTATTCTTTAAGTATTTTACCTCTGATATCTCGAATCCCTGGATATCTTGAAGTTTTTCCTCGGTCCCATCAAGTTTGAGATAACGAGGTTTGACTGTACAATAATTTAATTCAATTTTAACACATGAACATTTATGTGCTCATATTCCATTGAATTCATCTTTAGTCTTTGGTTTTAGGACCAGCACACTATTTTAAGATCCTGGGCTGTCAAAGACTTTGCACCACAGTGTAGACAATACATCCAGCTCTTTAAGACTGAGCACAAATTACATGTCAAGTTTGCTGGTGGGTAGTCAACTTCAGTTTTCTTCTTCTTTCCAAATCATTTATTGTTGCACATCTTTTTTTCTCATTATTTTGTTTGAATAATAATCATCTTCATAAATTCTTTCCAGTTAAACTTCATTATTAATCTCAATGGACAGTAAGATTTTTTCCCCCAAACTATTCATGCTTTGATGTACTGTTATGTGTACAGGCATTATAGATACGAAAAAAGATCAATAAATGAAATCAGTATGGTTTTTTTCCACACATTATTAATATTAATACATGTATAATGGAAAAATCCTGAAGATGTTTAGTATTACACTACATTTCAAGTGAATGTCACAATCCTATCAATTTTTAGCTCAAATCAATGAAGTTGTGTGGAGCTTATATAGTACCCTCAGTATGGGTGTCGGCATTGGTGTCCCAGGTTAAAGATTTGGGAGCAGATTTCTTTTTAAGTACTTTTATGTCCTAAATTAATCAGAGATGCATGGATGATGCTTCTAATGTGTTTCATTGTACCAGTCAGATGCTACAATTTCAGCTCAAGAATGACCAGATCAATGTTTTTGGAGTAGGTTCAAGTTTTTAGAGCAGGTTCACTCTAAGCCCTTTGTTGACCAAACTTGCATGGTTTATACATCTAAGGATGCATACTGATGGACTTGCTTTGGATGCTGGATCTGAACTCCATTTTCTGAATGAGTAACCAGTCTGAGAGTAAAGGTTTTGGAGCAGGTTCATAAGCCTTATGTTGTCCAAACTTGCATGGATGAAATATCTAAGGATGCACACTATCAGAGTTGATTCAGATGCTGGATTTTACATACATTTCCTGGATGAGTGACTAGTTTAAAGTTTTTAGAACAAGTCCATTCCCAATTAACTCCAAGCCCTATCAGACCAAAATTGCATATATGTTGCATTTAGGGATGCACATTACTAGATTATTAGTTTTGTGTGAGACTTTGCCTTACTTAAAGATAACATCCGTTAAGGTGAGCTCTGTAATCTTTCATTACCTAATATATGTTTTAATAAAAGAATCAAAGTCCACACTCAGATTTTTTCCCATTAAAGGCTTGTGGCCTTGGAGACATCTAAGGACTAGCACCACTTAACATAGACATGATGAATTAAGACATAAAATGGTTTATTATCATAACTTGTCATTTTTATTAACTTTAATTTAATGTGGTGCTAGATAAGTAGCCCATTATAATTTATGTCAGGTTCATCACTGTAATTGTCCCTTATATCATGAATAAATAATAGAATACATTACTTATTCATTAATTTTGCAAAAAAACAAGCAACATTTCAAAACACAAAAAAGTCATTCAAATTGTTAATTCCTTTCTCTGATTTAATACACTTTACTGAAATATTCAGCATTATTCAAAAAAAAAAAAAATTATAGCTTTATTTTTCTCTGACAGTTGGATTGCATTGATTTTTTTACTTTTGTTTGTAGTCTAGTTTCACACTTTTTTGAATTTTGTTTTGTTATCCTTTTTTGTGGAGAGCTTTTCATTCCTAGTGCATGTATTGTTTGAGTTCTGTAGCTGTAGATTTGATTTTCAGAGCATGTGGTTTGTGAGGATGAGTTTAAATATGCCCTGTTAGCCAACAACTGTCTGTATCCTGGGCTGTCTACATTGGTCACTCTACTGCTTCATACAACAAACAGAGAGTAAGTATATTATGTCTGTGTGTCTGTCTGTATCCCAGATTGTCTTCACTGGTCATTCTACTGATTCATAAAACAGAGAGTAAGTATATTATGTCTGTCTCCCAGATTGTCTTCACTGGTCACTCTACTGCTCCATACAACAGAGAGTAAGTATATTATGTCTGTATCTGTCTGTATCCCAGATTGTCTTCACTGGTCACTCTACTGCTCCATACAACAGAGAGTAAGTATATTATGTCTGTATCTGTCTGTATCCCAGATTGTCTTCACTGGTCACTCTACTGCTCCATACAACAGAGAGTAAGTATATTATGTCTGTGTGTCTGTCTGTATCGCATATTGTCTTCACTGGTCACTCTACTGCTCCATACAACAGAGAGTAAGTATATTATGTTTGTGTGTCTGTCTGTATCCCAGATTGTCTTCACTGGTCACTCTACTGCTCCATACAACAGAGAGTAAGTATATTATGTCTGTGTGTCTTTCTGTATCCCAGATTGTCTACACTGGTCACTCTACTGCTCCATACAACAGAGAGTAAGTATATGATATCTGTGTGTCTGTCTGTATCCCAGATTGTCTTCACTGGTGGCTCTACTGCTCCATACAACAGAAAGTAAGTATATTATGTCTGTGTGTCTGTCTGTATCCCAGATTGTCTTCACTGGTCACTCTACTGCTCCATACAACAGAGAGTAAGTATATGATATCTGTGTGTCTGTCTGTATCCCAGATTGTATTCACTGGTCACTCTACTCCTCCTTACAATGGAGAGTAAGTATATTATGTCTGTGTGTGTGTCTGTATCCCAGATTGTCTACACTGGTCACTCTACTGCTCCATACAACAGAGAGTAAGTATATTATGTCTGTGTGTCTGTCTGTATCTCAGGTTGTATTCACTGGTCACTCTACTGCTCCATACAACAGAGAGTAAGTATATTATGTCTGTCTGTAGATTGTCGTCACTGGTCACTCTTCTGTCTATACAGCAGAGAGTAAGTATATTATGTCTGTATGTCTGTCTGTATCCAAGGTTCACTGGTCACTCTACTGCTCCATACAACAGAGATTAAGTATATTACTGATATGCGTGTCTGTCTCTATGATCAAGACTACATATCTATATTTGTCACTCTGCTCCTTTACACCATAAAAGAGAGAGCAATGTATCTTTCCAGTCTGACCAATCTTTATCTAGGATATACCAAGATCACTTATTATTTCATACTAACTATGAAGTTGTGTTCTTTACATAAGTGTTGCATGGTTTTACTCTACTTTTTGGGTTCTAAGTGTGTGCAGGAATATACAACAAAGTTTAGGTTATTTTTTTTTATCATCGTGTACATGATTGGTTTACTACTGTTTGATTTTGTCTGTAGGTTAGGACAGGTGGGGGTACAGAGCTGGCAACATGTTTATGGCAGACACTCTGGGAATGAGGTCTATCACATACAGCTCAGTAAAAGTGTGTTTTTCCAAAAATATGAGGGACAGAGTTTTACAAATGCATCAGCTGATGCTCATAAAAGGTAAGACAGTCACTCAAGTATTGAATCATTTTCCTACAAAATAGTTTTAAAACAATCTATGGACTTGACGAATATCAGTATACTTGTGTATATACCATGTTTTAGCATATTATGTTTAGCTGTTTTATCATCTGTGTACCATGTATCAGCAAATGTGTTTTATGTTTAGATTTGGAGTGTGTTTGATTGGTGTTCTTGATATCACAAATGAAGAGCCTCGTCTGCAGTTAAACCCAGGATCCTCCCACAAGTTAAAGTTATCTGATTACTGCTTCTACATAGGAGAATTCAAGGAAGAATTCTCCAAAATTAAGTCTGAGAATGTCATTCTGGAGAAGAATCCAAGTGAGAAAGCCCCAACTAACAGTAAAAAGAGTTTAGGTGAGGATTTAATGTAACAAAGTTTGTAATATTGTGAGAATCAGATACAACAGAGGAAAACCAGATGTTGTTGTGGCCTTGGAGATGTTGGACAACCAGATGTTGTTTGTCTTCATCAACAATAGCTATCTCCAGTCTTCCTCACTGATACCTCATTTAATTTTTTGATCTTGGAAAAAATTTTTAAAATGAGAGTTGTGTTCTATATCTTGATGAACAGTATATAAGAAGATTGGACTTGCTTTAATTAGTGGTTAAAAATTTATAATCTTGATGACATTTGTATTTAGTAACTCAATTTTAACATCTCATTAAAAGTGATCTTGCCCTATGACCTGTGCAAAGTGGAGTTCAAGATAAATTAGGTTATGGGCAACAATACATGTACTTCTGTTTGAAAAAAATGCTTCGAAGTTTCCAAATTAAACCTGGACACAATTTTTAAAATTCATTGCCTGATTACCTTGATTTTATGTACATGTATAAAAAATGGAAACAAAACCATGGCACATATATCTCATGGAAATCAATATACAGTCAAAGATTGTTATCTTGAACTCGAAGGGACCAATAAAAAAACTTTGAGATATTTGAGGGATCTAGATATTGAGGGTAAAATGCTGAAAGAAAAAGTGCTTGGGACTTCAAATGACTTTGACATATCCAATGTATTCAACATACATGTATTAAACAGTGTTTAAGATACTGAAGTTTAGCTGTTTTTACAGACTTAAGTTTTCATAATCAAGGGGTCTGAATTGTGTTGTATGGATACGATTTGTAACAGACAACTATGGCAAATAACCAACAGGGGTAGACTTTATTTTAAGGACAGTTGCAAGTTCCCATGTATATCCTTACAGAACAAGTGTCAGAAGTCTTAGAAAAATGGATCAAGCAAGAACTGGAGGCAGACAGTTATGGAGAGGAGAGTGTGTTTAACTCTACCATTACTAATGAGTGGGGGCAAGAAATTGCACGTCGAATTCGCAGGAAGAGTAGCGGGGAACTTCGTAAAACTGACACATTTGAGGAAGAGAACTCTACAGTGATAGAAGCTGAAGTTAACGCTAATGTAGGAAAGGACAAAAAAGGTCCTCGTGTTCTACAGGTCCACAAAGATATGGGGCAGGAGCAGTAAGCCTATCTCTTGATTTAGTTTTCATTGGATATTGTGTAAAAAAAAAATTATTTAACCCTTTTCCACTGAGAATGCAAGTAATTGCACTTATTACTTTTGTTACTGACTCAGTTTTTTCCCTATTTTTATAAAGCTTATGAATTGGATGTAAATGTCATGTAGATACTTGATGTTTGTTTTCTTTGTTATTTTGGTGTGATTCTATATCATCTCTTGATGTGATTTCAGAATGATAACTGGGCCACCTCCTGTCACTTTGTATTCTGGAAACAGAAGAACACTATGTCACCTGATGGGCACTCCCAGACCAAAGTGTTGTCTCAAGTGGGGGGAGGTAAAAATTCTGTCTATAAATGAACATGGGATTTTAAATCTGCAGACAGGGTTTTATCAGTGATGCAAGTTTAGAGCAGAATTTTTTATCCTTTTTCTCATGCAGAAAGATTATGTAATGTCTTATACTGCACTGAAAAAATGCTCATGATTAAAGTTCCACACACTATTTCTACATCATGTTCTTCAGAACTGTGAACATTGCACATACAAGAATGCTAACGATGATCGCTGGAAGGGACAGTTGATTATACTGGCTGTGGAGCACGCATGTTCTGGGATCCATAACTTTATTGTACCACTGAGATCCCACTTTATCAGTAGAAATTCACTAAGTCCAATTATACTCCTCATGGAAGATAGGTAAGTACGGTAACATATCAATTGATGAAAGCTAGGAATCAAAAATTCATTAAAGTTTGATATTTAGAATGTTAAATTGGCAAATGAGAAGATAAGTTACTCCTTAATTACATAAGGGTGGTTGTTTTCCATTAATGTCAATGTTCTCTCTTCTACAGCCCTGACGATATGTTCCTTAGTTCTATTGGGCATTTTCCTTTGGTATATTGGATGAAAGGAACAATTTCTTGGTAAATTCTTTACATGTCATATTGATTGGTGTAAATAGCTTTGAAGTCTGCATTTACATAGATGTAGATTCATTTTATCACTCATGACTATTTGTTAACGTGAAAATATATATTGTAAACTTGATAATTTATTGTAAACATATGATAATTTAATCTACATACAGTAGAAGGAAATGAGGAAGAAATTTTTCTGTTAACATCCCGACCCATACTGATGCATTTATATCTCATTTTATGTAACGTTGATGATAAATTCTGCTGCTCTTTGGAATAACCTTCATGCATATTGTTTTTGCTATTCACACAATTAATAACATAGTTTTCCATGTTTCTATGTTTTTGAAATCTCAGGCAGGTAATTATATTTTTTATATATTTTAGCATTGATGATCTACTTTTGGCTGGAATTAACAAGGTCAGTCATTTAGTGGTGGTCAATCATGATGCAATGAGGGAAAATATGGAGGAAACCATGGTGGACTCCGAGACTATTGTTGCTGTCCAGACCATTGTCAAGTAGGCATATATGTACTAGAATAAATACTGTATGTGTACATATTTAAGAATTTTTTATATCTTGGGCACAATCCTTTCTGAGCTAATTAAATAAATTTGTTTTTATTCAGTGGCTATCACACACTGTGTGAAAGGAAGAAATGCTTCATGTATTCTTAACTCTCAAATGACACGATACATGTACTAAGAGCTAAGATGAACAGTGTTTGCATAAATTTTACACATTAATTTAACAAGTCTTAAAATGAGAATCATTGTCAAGTAAATTTTACCCATTGTTATATAATTCATGATGTGCCTAGTCACCTCTCATCTATTTTTGTTATAAATTTAGAAATGTGATGAAATAAGAACACCTACAGAATAGTTATTGAGATTATGCTATTTCAAGACAGGCATTACTTAAAATCTTAAGTGAAAGTACTTGTGTAATCAATTTGATTCGCAAGAAAGTTCTTGAAGAATGTATAAATATAATCTTTGCTATCTCTGTCAAATTTTATAAGGGAGACAACTCTAATAAATCGCTCCAAGGAGTATATTTAATTCCATTGACTAAAGATAATTCTGTTACATACCTACAAAAATGCTTTAAAAAGTTTTATATCATGTTTATAAAAAATATAATGTACCTTTTTTTCTGTGTATGCCCAGATTATTTCCCAACATTAACATCATTACTGAGCTGAGCCAGGCCACCAGTATAAGATTCATGCAATTCCATGCTCACAGCACACATTATGCAAAACAGGATTCCAAATTGCAAAAGGTTGGTTTTCCTAGGAAAGAGTTGAAATGTCAAAGCCAATGTCATCAGAGTCGGATATATTTAACACTAAATTTTAGATCCACTTTGCTTCAATTTATTCCAAAGCAAGCACATGCCCTTTTTTGCATATTCTGAAACCACCATTGTACATGTAATTGCTGTCTTTTGTAGGTGGTGGGTGGTAGAATGAGTTCGGCACTCTCTCATATTTTTCGTCAGCCTTTTGCTGCAGGACAGGTGTTTAGTGCCAGTATGCTAAACAGTCTCCTCTATCAGGTACTTAGAAATAAATACATGTAACAACTGTTAAGATATAGAAAAGGTACATAGAAATAAATACATGTAACAATTGTAAAGATATATATATATATAAGGTACTTAGAAATAAATACATGTAACAGTTATAAAGATTACATGTTAAAATTTTAAAGAAACATGTAACAAATGTAAAGAAACATGTAACAATTGTAAAGATTACATGTTACAATTGTAAAGATTACATGTTACAATTGTAAAGATACAGTGTACATATAACAATTGTAAAGATTGCATGTAACAATTGTAAAGATTACATGTAACAATTGTAAAGAAACGTGTAAAAATTATAAAGATTACTTGTAACAATTGTAAAGATTACATGAAACAATTGTAAAGATTACATGAAACAATTGTAAAGATTACATGTAACAATTGTAAAGATTACATGTAACAATTGTAAAGATCATTAAGCTTTTGTCATAAAATATTCTAATAGAGCTGCTTCTTGAGTAAACATATATTTATGAATATATAAAAATATATTTGATTGGAATTAAATGAAAATTATTTCCTTTTTTCAGACTTTTGTAAAAGGCTACTTGATCACACTAGTCAGGTTGTTACTAGGTATTGATGCTGAGGAAAACTCTGGTCACCTCTCAAGTGTAAGTTAACTTCTGCTTGTCTCCTCTCAAGTGTAAGTTAACTTCTATTGGTCACCTCTCAAGTATACCAACTTCTGCTTGTAACCTCTCAAGTATAAGTTGCTTTTGCTAGTCACCTTTCGAGACTTAGTTAACTAATTTCTGCTGGTTCCCCTGAAGTATAAATTAACCTCTGCTGGTCACCTCTCTCTTCTTCTGGTCACCCCTCAAGTGTAAATTAGTTTCTTCTTATTGTAAGTTATTTTCTCTTTAACAGACTTTTATAAAGTCTCTCTACATACATGTTCATAAGTTTTCAGTTAGCTTTGATCTTAATGATTACAGGTCAGGGTGCAGCGTATGACTTATGCCAGATATAGCACATATGGTGATCTCTATAATGCCATGGCAACAACCACTGGGGAAATCCCTATTGCTATTTACAGAACAGAAGAACACCCAGATGCAACATCAAATGTCCCTAATGTATGTAACTAAACACTGATAAACAGAACATTTACAGTGTAGGAACAGTCTAAATGGTAGTGTGTAATTTGATAATTTGTTTGTTCTCTTATGTTTTCACTCAATAAATGCTTAGTAAAAATTAGTATACTGTGAAATCATTAATTTTTGTGGGGGGTTAATTTTCATTGTTTTGACGGAGAAATATCGCATTCATGCCCATCCCCCCCCCCCCCCCCTCCAAAAAAAATGGTAAAGTTCCATATTGCAGTACTATGATGTTTCTCCTTTAACCATGAGATCAAATCCTCTCAGACAAGTAATTTTTATTCAAACCATGAAAATTTAAAATTTGACCCCCCAAAAATATGTGATTTTACAGTAACATTTTGTTTAAGGTAATGTGTATGTATGCTGCACTAGTATTAGTTTTTATACAAATAACTCTAAATTCTTTCTATACAAATAACTCTCTTAAATTCTTACTTCAAGCAGTCAGATAGTAAGAATAATAATCACCACCTCCAGACTGATGACAGGAAGTTCTCAACCAAAATGAGTGGAGGAGGCTTATTCTCAAAGCCGTCCAATAGAAAATCAGAGAAAGAGACTGCAGATCTGGCTGCTTTAGTCAAGAATCGGCTCAGAGAACTCGGCATGAAATCATCAGATTATGGTAAGGATTGATAGGGATCAATTTACTGTAGGAGTGCTGGCTTGTAGCAGGTTCAGGAATGTGCTGTTTCCTTATAATGTTGTCTGTCTGTCACTGGATATTTTTTTCAATAGAGAAATCTGTTATTCAGCAGATAATTTTTGTTTTGTGGATTGTTGCTTAGAAGATGGGTGTTTTCTGCACCAGTCCTCATTTGTTATTTACATCTGAAATTACATTGTATGTTTAAAATAAGATTGTTTTTTTTTTTTTTAATTGAAGAAAAATTCATTTTGAATAAATGTTCACCTTAATAATGAAAAGATTAATAGACATTTGACAAATCATTAGGGGAATGGATAAATGAGACCCCCCTTCCCCACCCCCTTTCACCTTTTCTGTAGCTAGTACCCACTAAATACTGAACCAATCCACATTTCTAAGATTTATTCAATAAGGAGTTTATAAATATTTTACTACACATATACATCTACATACAATGTACTTTGTAATAATATTTATCAAATTATAATTCATCTCTAGAAGTATGTTAATTAACTTAAAGACAAATTATTTCAAAAATTTGCTACAATAGGTATCTGCTCATTAATGATTTGGTTTCAGTATTAAGATTGAAGCTATTTCTTCATGTAACATGATAACTGTATAGTACATAAAATAAATAATGATAAAAATTGATTTTTCCATTTTGATCACTTTATAGATAAAACAGAGGAGTTAGGAGGTATACATATATCTAACAATGTTGAGCACAAGTGTTACAAAAAAATTGTGTAAAGTTTGAAACAAATCCAATAATAATCTACCTGTATTTTTTTTTCCCTTGCATGTCATCAAAGATGAGGCTAGACCTCATTAGATAGTAGCATCATTATAGAGATTTTACCATATATCACTGGAAAATGCACTGAACATAGCAAGAACTGTAGCATGAATGATTGAAAAATAATGTTAATAAAAGTAGCTGTTTATAAATTATAGCTGTATAGGAATGAATTACTACCAGTTAATTTATGTTCTGAACCTGTAAAGTGTGATTCTGAATGTTTGCTTTCCTTGTTGTGTGTATTACAGATATTGATTTAAGTAAGTAATCATCAAAGATCATAACTCTATCACTTACTACAATCAGAAATATGCCATGCAGAGCCATGCAATCTTTTTACTTTGAAAAAAAAATCATTGATAAATTCATTGATAGATGTTCTTAAATGTGTAAAGATTAAAAATGTAACTTATTTTCAGGGTAATAGGAGTTGTTCAAGCAAATTTTTTGTATTTGAAATGGTTAATGATAAATTTATGAAAGTAAATTTGCATTTGAAATATCAAATATAATATTGAAAGTCTGTGAATGTATCTGGAGAGCTTTCTGCTTCATTGACATACATCTGGACATTTATGTGTATGACTGTGTATATATAACAGCATGTACAAGCTTCAGTTGACAAATGTATTTTATTTTATTCTGAAGAATATAAGAATGCAAGATTAAAAATAAAACATATCAAATTTGTACATGTAATCCTCATAGAAATGCACCATTATGCAACAGCAACGTAGTGTTAAGGAAGAAAACTGTGAACACCATAGTTGTCTTTCTGACCATTTTAATACATTGTACATTAAGTCTGAAATTGAATTTATTCTTAGCTTATTATTGGCATTCCAAACTTGCATGTATAAAGCATCATTGGATGCCACATCTGACCTAAATTTTTATTCCCTGTCCTAAGTAACTAAGATTATGGACTGCAATTAGATATTTTTATACCCAAACAAAAAAATTTAGCAACTTTAAATTTTTTTCGTGAAAATTATTGAAGATCCTGTTAATTCCAATTGAATGACTATTGAACACAAATATTAACCCTTTGTTTAAAACCACCCATGGTTGAATGATTTAGCACCACTAGTGAGTAGAATGTGCAAAAAACAATTGCCTGAGGTAAATATGATTTTCTAATCAGATAGTGTTTAAAATCCATTGCATTTGAATCAAAGTGTATTAAAGACGGAAGAACACAAATTTTGCATCAAAGGACAAGACAGGCTTAGACCTCTTTTTGGCCCCTCGTTTGGGGTGTCTTTTAGAATGATGCAACAGTTTATCAATTAAAACCTGTTGTCAGCCCTGCCACAAAATGAGGTCACAGGAAGGTCAGAAAATATGTCAATTTCTGAATTTTCTCATTTTTATGCAAATTTTCATCGATTTTACAGCACATTTTGTTTCAGAAAACATAGAGCACAAGCTTGCCTATCTACCAAATTTATATATTTCATAAACTAGTATCAGATGCATCTTATGTATGAAATCTCAGGCAAGCTTGTCCTCTATGTTTCCCGAAGTGAAAAGTATCTCAAATTTAACAAAATTCTACCAGAATTGAGGAAGTTCGGGAAAATGTCCTACTTCAGCACCCTGTTGTAGCCTCCGTGTAAGCTTTGAAACAAAATTAGTGCTGGTTTTAAAACAAGCATCATTTTAAGTCCTTAACTACAAACTTTCACAATTTTAACTGTGTTCTGATTTTTACATAAAAAAAGGGGCCAGATTCAGCCGTTGCCATACCTTGTCCTTTAAATGCTCAACAGAAGCCTTTCCCAAAATGACCACAGAAGGAATGGTGGATGTTGGCATAAATGTTTCTATTGTTCCTTATTACATGTATTTTATTTTCCACTATATAACTGTTTGCCAGTTACATTTAGTTAGTTGATACAGGGAAAGTGCATCAGTTTTAGACCATCCTTGAGTGAGGAGACAAAAGAAACTAACTGTAAGACAGGGACTTTTCATACAAGTAATGTCAAAATGCAGCAGATTTTTGCCCATAACCAGCATTACTGACCATTTAAGGGCAACAGCAGGAATTCAAGTTTCATCTTAAACCATCTGCTTTTGTGTCCCATAGTGGTTAAGAATAACGAAGTTTACATCTTTTATATCGAATTTTCAAAGATCGCATTTTAAAAGTATTGAACTGACACTATTTTTGTAAGTATTTTAAATCTGAAATCCAATTCATCCAAAATTTTGAACTCCAAAGTAACTCTTGTATTTAATACTTCCTAAAATACATTTAGTAGTCATACTTGAAGGAAAAAATCTTTATTGCGAATTCCCTATATATATACTATAACGAATTCGTTATATGGATATAACAAATTATGGATATAGCGAAGTGATTTCGCAGGTCCCAAACCAAGACTTCGCTATGACCGAGTTTTACTGTATGTTTTCGTTGTTGTTGTTCTTGATCATACAGTTATACTGTATATACTTGCATAATACAAATGTAAGTCAGATTTTTGAAAGTTGAATTTTGGTCACAAACTCTTATGTGCGACTTACATGTATTAGTGAGTCCTTCTTTATAAAATGTATATTGTTGTTAAATTTGTTGATAGAAGTCTTAATATTGATGGCTTACCCCATTACATACTTTGAAACACCAGTAAATACAATTGATCAAAAATTGGCAACTGATTTTGGCAAAAATTGACACCAACCAACAAGTAGGTAAATGGGAAATACCTCGTAAATAATCTGACTTGTTAGTGGAGTGTCACATATACAAGTATATATGATAATCCACATTTTTTTCAAAACCATTAGGTAAAAATTGTCTTGCAATGTATAGACAGTGGATGTAAAAGGAATAACTGAGAATTTCAGTTCCCCCCCCCAAAAAAAAAAATGAGAAAAAAATTGGAATGATTCATAACTATTATGTTCATATGACTGTTTTTGTTCACATGGCTTTTTGAATGACAATTGCATTTGTCAAATCTTTTTTAAGATATTCATGTTATATTTCTATTATAGAATACCATGTACCAAGTTTGCCACATTTTTGTAACATTTTTGTTTTTAGCTCACCTGAGCCAAAGGCCCAAGTGAGCTTTTCTTATCAAAATTTGTCTGTTGTTCTCATCGTCGTCATCATAAACTTTTCACACTTTCATCTTCTTCTCCAGAACCACTAGGCCAATTTCAACCGAACTTGGCACAGAGTATCCTTGGGTGAAGGGGATTCAAGCTTCTTCACATGAAGAGCCACATCTTTTCCAAGAGGAGATAATTAAGAAATAGTGAAAATTGGGTGGGGTCATTTAAAACTCCTCTTCTCAAGACATACTGGGCCAGAAAAGATGAAACTTACATGAAAGCTTTCTGACATAGTGAAGATTCAAATTTGTTCAAATCTTGACCCCCAGTGGAAGGGTAAGGCAACAGTGGTTGATCAAAGTTTTACATAGGAATATATAGGAAATTTTTTTTAAGTCTTCTTTCAATTACAGCGAAGTCATAATTAGTCATATTGATATGGAAACATCCTAAGGTAGTGTAGAATTAAGTTTGTTCAAATCCTGTTCCTGGGTTTAGGGAGGGATCACACATTGGGCGATCAAAGTTTTACATAGGAATATATTGGGAAAAAAATAGCTGATGAAGAACAGAAGGGCCAAAGTGACTCAGATCAGCATTGTGGCCCAGGGGCCTCCTGTTTTTTATTGCTAATGTGAGTGTGTGTGTTTATGTGTGTAAAAAACGGAGGCCTCTGACTAAAACAAGAGATTTCAGATCCTTAATTTGAGTATGCATCATTTACCAGAAAAATCTTTGAAATGGATTTGTGTTATCAATGTTGTTTTTATACAGGCAAATAAGATTACTGTCTGACTAGACGTGAAGACATTAAATCCGTTTTTTTTGTTTTACAGTGGATGTAGATACATCGGCCAACACCATATCCTACGTCATCCTAAACCCGACCCCAATGAGGAAACTTAGAGTAGGAGACATTGTGTAAGTCCTCTAGGATTAGTATAATCTTATTATAAAAACATGTTAGTGGAGTATAAGATCTGAACATGACTGATGTTGATTTGTGCAGGTATGTCATACAACCAAGCAGCATGGCTGCCATTCCTAGTGGTAAAACAAGATGGAACATGGTGAGGAATGCATTATCTGGCAAATCTCTAGTGTCAAGGTCACTTAGTAATCCGTCATCCTCTAGCATATCACCAACAAGCAAAAGCAATGGAAACCTACTCAAAAGAACATCCAGTGGATCTGGGGAACTGTATGCTAAAGAAAATGAAAGTGTTTTTGTGTTTCCTCTAAGAAAGTTGAGTAGCTCTGCCAAAAACAGCTCGACGGACCCCGAGAAACAGGACTTATTAATGCCTGAGGTTTGTATTCCAGAGCCTGGGATACTAGAGAGGAAGGTCTCCAGATTCACAGTCCATAGTGCTGCAGATGCTTAAAAAGCTAGCAATACTCATATTTTAATATTTTGTGTGTGCATTGTTTGTTAAAATTTTATGGGAAAGGGATATATTTTTCTACAGTGTCATTTTTGTTGCTATAACATAGAACATGATATGGTCTTAATATTTTTTGATACCAGCTAGAATTTTTTATAGAAGTAAAGATATTGCACAGTATGTATTTTATTGAATACTGCATCTTTACATCAACATGTAAAGAATTGGACAGTGGTTTGAAAAATAGGGCATTTGTATTTTTTTTTATAAATATGAATGAACATTGTAGGTAGATTTATGCATGCTACATTTAGTCCAAGGTTCAGTCATGTAGTTGACTTTCATGTACAGGATCAGGCTGTATAAAACCATTTATTTTTTCCTGTATTAACAATATGCTATTTATTCGGATTTGTATGTATTCAAGTTTATCGGTACATTCTCCAGAGTTGACTTCCATACTGTTACTGCTGTATGTCCTACAGACTTCATAGTTAAACATGGATGATTGCGGTTTGATTGCAGGTCTGTATATTTTTGTACAGTTGTGGTTTAGTATATAATGGTGTCTTCCATTTACTTCGGAAGTAATCAGTAACCACTTTGTAAAGCCAACGTCATAATCATCTAATGAGTAAATTTTGTTGCTGTAATGAATGACTCAGGTTAAATCCACTCTGTAGTGTGCCAAAGATTCACCATATTAGAGATTAATTCTTTTGGTTGTATCAAAGGATGTTTGAGGCCTACCATAGAATCATTTATCTTTCATGCCATAGAATAGTTGTCTCACACGTGTTTAAGGTTCAATGTATTACAGTTTATCATATCACAATGTAGTGTATAACCAGAGAAAAAGAACTAGTACTTGTCATTTTTATACGTAACTAATTTCTCCTGCAAGTCTTTCCTATTGTATGTCTTCCAACAGGGACCTGAGGAACAAGAATTTTAATTTAGTGTTTTACATGTATAAGGGTTTTTTTTATAGCAGTCATATTTTTTCTCCCTGATTGGTTTTTTGTTTATAAATCTAATGTACTATGGATCAAGAAGAATTAAATCACTGCAGGTGTACATGTATGTATCCTTATCAAAGACGATGTTAAATTATTTATAAATGCATGTGTATTCATTTTCAATCATTATTACATGTCATACTGTATTTCATTTAACATATTTCTTATTTCAAAGACATAAGTGCTAGCACACTACAATTCATGTATAATGATGATTGAAGGAAATGGTATTTCTTTCACAAGAATTGTAATGGAAGGTGCTTGGAAAACTTGGTACTTTCATGGTATGGTGAAAGGATTGTTAGCCTAATAATGAAAACACCGAAATAATAACAAATTGATGATAAATAAACCTCCATGTATATCTTTTTGTTAATAATGAGAAATTATCAGTGTTTGTACCTGTTTTATATTGTTTAAAATGCTGAGTAGTTAGTCCTTTGATGTGTAGTGACATAGTGTCAATTGATGTCTCTTTTTGGTTGATTTGTTGATTGTTGTACCTGTACCCATTTTTTAGAAGTTCAGTGTGTTTACTCAACAGGAATCTCATTGTTGTCATCTTATAAATGCATTCCAAACTAATTTGGTGTTCATTTGAAACTTGCCATATCAGTAGGATTTCCAGACATTTCCCTTTTTTATGGAATATGTTTTAAAGACTTGTAAATCTGTTATATATTTGTTTATGACAGCATTTTTACAGTTATTTTTATTTCGTTGAATGCTTGAGAATTTTCTGTGCTCGGGTCTTATGGTGCTTTGCTTATGAACATTTTTCCTTTGAAACATCAGAATAGATAATGATAAATTTATTTTGTTTTGCTTTTGAATTACTAGTATATACACATGTATACTATGCATTTAAATAAGACTGAAACCCTGGCCACGTTTAGATTATTCTGACAATCAAAATTTCAGCATTAGAGAGTATAACTAGAAGCCACAGTCAATCAAAGTAGACTGATGCTGTTAGGAAAATTTTTCAAAAATTGTCCACCCTTCAATTCTTGTGGAAGCATACCAAACAGTTTACCTTTCGTTTTTGTAAGTTTATATTTTTAAAGAAAATAATGAAATGAAAAATTAATATAGTATATCTCCATAATGGGAAAAGATAACATGATTTATGCCCTGTTCACAAGGAGAGTTTAATTCATATTAAACATAGGTTACTACAAATTAAATTTAAACTGGGTTCACTCAAACAATATAATGTGAATTATATTTTAATTCGAATTAATTTACTGCACATCAATTTGCTTTGCATTAACTCTGTGTGAATGCTAAGCAAAGCTTATTAGTCCCCTACCGGTGAAACCGGAGGGGACTATAGGTTTCCTCTGAGTCTGTCCGTCCGTCTGTCTGTCTGTCTGTCTGTCCCTCTGTCTGTCTGTCAGTCTGTCCCACTATGTTCTGCACTTTTTTCCTAAACGCTTGGAGATATTGAGCTGATTTTTGGTATGTGAGTGTATCTTGATGAGTTACAGATCAAGTTTGCCTTTCGTTCTGCTTCATTGATTTTTGACGGAATTACGGCCTTTTCAATTTTACGGGTTTTCCGCAATTTTCTTCTAAACGCTTGTAGATATTGAGCTGATTTTTGGTATGTGGCTTTACCTTAATTAGTTATAGAACAAGTTTGCATTTCGTCCCGCTTCATTAATTTTTGACGGAATTATGGCATTTTCAATTCTTAACGGGAACCAGATTACAATTGCCGGTAGGGGACTAGTATTGCTAATGCAATACTCTCAGAATGCTTGTTTGAATTAAATTTTGATGCATGAGTAATAGCAAAATTAAGCCACATGCAACATGTCGGTTGTCAGAGATAAGTACTCATAGTATTTTTCAGTGAAAAACAAAGGAAAACAAGCAAATTCAAAGAAATGTGGTCCCACGCTTTTGGTGTCTTAGTGGATGGGATGCCATTGTTTATGGCATATTGTAACTTTCTTGTTTGTGTGTCCAGTATTGTAACATGAAGGTCAAGGTCAAGGGGTAAAAAATCATAGCATACTCAGAAACATCTTGTCACAGGTAATGCACACGTCAAATATGGAAGCCATATCTTTTCTCAATTAGAAATTAAAGGAAAAGATAATTTTTTTTGAAAACTAGGTCAAACTTCAAGGTCACGGGGTCAAAAAAAACATAGCATATTTGGAAAGGTCTTGTCACAAGTAATGTACATATGTCATTGAGAAAAGATGGAGCTTTCATGTGACATATGTACATTACCTGTGACAAGACCTTTCCAAACATACTATGGTTTTTGACCCCATGAACTTGACCTTGAAGTTTGAAATACTTTTCAAAAATTTAATCATTTCATTTTGATTGAGGAAAGATAGGGCTTTCATATTTGACATGATTGTGTATTACCAGCAACAAGATGTTTCTGAGCATGCTATGATTTTTGACCCCTTGAACTTGATCTTCTTGTAAATTTGACCTTATTTTGGAAGATCTTAACTTTGGTGATTACTTTTGACTGACATATGATAGGGCATTCATATTTGACAAGTGCATCACCTGTGTCAAAATGTTTTCGAATGTGCGATGATATTTGACCCTGTGACCTTGATTTTCAAGTTTGACCTAATTTTCAAACATTTTATCAGTGTTGCTAACTTTTGAAGGAGCGAAGATAGGGCATTCATATTTGACACATGCATTACCTGCAACAATCATTTCCAAATGTACTATGATTTTTATCCCCATGACCTTGAAGTTTGACATAATTTTCAAAAAAATTAACATTGCTGATACTTCTGAATGAGAGAAGATATGGCATTTACATTTGATATGTGCATTACCTGTTTCAAGACCTTTCAGATTGTATACTCTGGTTTTTGATATTTTTATACCCCTGTATCTAAGATTCGGGGTATATAGTTTTTGCCCTGTCCATCCATCTGTCTGTCTGTTTGTCTGCAAAAACTTTAACATTGCCCATAACTTTTGATTGGTTGGAGCTATGGCTTTCATATTTCACATGTGTATTCCTTGTGACAAGACCTTTCTTTGGGTACCACCATATTTGACCTTTTGACCTTGGAGATTGACCCAGTTTTGCAAAATTTTACTGAACTTTAACCTTGGCCATGACTTTTGAACAGTTGGTGCTAGGGCTTCCATACTTCACATGTGTAATCCTTGTGACAAGACCTTTCTTTGAAGACCAACAACTTTGACCCTTGACCTAGGAGATTAACCTACTTTTGAAAAACTTTAACCTTGGCCATACCTTTTGAACGATCGGTGCTAGGGCTTTCATACTTCCAGTATGTAATCCTTGTTACAAGACCTTCCTTTGGATGCCAACAACTTTGACCTTTGACCTTGACCTTGGAGTTTGACCTACTTTTGAAAAACTTTTACTTTGGTCATAACTTTTGAATGATTGGTGCTACGCTTTCATATTTCACATGTGTATTCCTTGTGAGAAGGCCTTTCCTTGGGCACCATTCATTTTGACCATTTGACCTTGACCTTGATGTTTGACTTTTGAAAAAACTTTAACCTTTTCAATATCTATTCAATGGTTGCTGTTAGGGTTTTATATTTCACAGGTATGTTCCTCGAGACAAGACCTTACTTTGGATACCAACATATTTAATTTGCATTTGAGAAAGTTTAACCTTTGCTATAAGTTGCCATACAGGGGCATCAGTGTTTCACAAACACATCTTCTTTTACATGTACATTACTTGTGTCAAGACCATTCGGATTGTATTATGATATTTGACTTCATGACCTTGATCTTGAAGTTTGATGTAATTTTGAAAAGCTGTAATCTTTGCCATAACTGTTATTAATTCAATAATTTATGTCTTTTTGTAAGATGCATAGACAATACAGAACACACAAACAAGAAAGTTACAATATGCCGTAAATGATGGCATCCCATCCTTTAAGACACCAAAAGCAGGGCACCACAATTCCTTAAATTCTTAGCTGCAGCTCCACCTATACCACTATGTAACAAGGGTTCTGTGAATGTCTCATTAAATGTTATTCATTGGTGTAAGAGGAGTTGCGGATAAGAGATGTGTACCCCAAAGAGTAACAGATGGACGGATAGACAGATGGACACCCCATCACTACACATCCCCACTTTTCAAGGAGGGGTATAATAACAAACAGAAGTGTGGTCTTCATATAAGCTTTCACACTGGAAATCATTGATAATCTGTGTACTACTAACTGATTATAATTCAGTATCTCACCCCATCTATGATAGATGATCTATCCTTTCCAGTTATTTATGAAATTATATTATAAAACAAACTGTAAATTAAGTGATAGTCTGATTATAGTGACAATTAATGCAGCATGATCTGTGTGACATATGGTCAGAAATATTTTTTGATTAATGTTTCTGATATCTTGGGTATATTCTTGGTTTTCTTACGTTTTCTTTTTCTTACGTTTTCTTTACCAATTGAAATAAAATATATACAATGTATAGTGTTCTGATCAAGCATAAACACTGAAGGCTCAAGCGAGCTTTTCTGATCAAAATTTGTCCATTGTCTGTCGTTGTTGTTGCCATTGTTGTTGCAAAAGTGTAATAAAATATTTCAATGACATAAAAAAGAACGTTTATAAACTTCTGTTTTTCAGTTTTGTGATGGAAGAACTACCGTGTAGCGGGTTTCTTTAGCGGGTGTAAAATTTGGCGTTTTGCTTGCTCAAAGTTTGCTAATAATTTTGGCGGGCACACAGTTCCATAACATTGTAAAAGAGAGGAAGTTCACCTTCTAGCTGAGTTTCAGTACGTTGAATTTACGTTTGAATACCGATTTAAACGAGAGTTTGAGTAAAAACCAACATCAGATGAAAGATGTATTGTTCAACAGAAGACTGATCGAAGTTAATTCAGTACTTACATGTATACGCAATAGTGCATATTTAGCGATTAAAATTTTAGCGGGCTACTTAAAACCCGCTAAAATAAGCCAAAGTTAGCACCCCGCTAAAAACCTTTACTATACAGTATTTATAAGCTTTGATTGAATCAATATTACATTGTTGACTTGTCATCCTGTACAATTTTGATTTCTTTTATAATACTATACAATACACTGTTCAGAAATCTTTTAATTTTTTTTTTATACTTTATTTTTGTCTAATTGATCATAAATGTTTAAATTACAAATAGATTTATCATAATGATTTTAACAAATATAACAAACAAAATTATTAAAAAATGCAGCTCATATTGCTTTACAAATCTCTTTCCTAGAACAGCAAAGTCATGATTAGTCATATTTTTTATGCAAGCATCCTCAAATAGTGTACATTCACGTTTGTTCAAATCATGACCCCTTGGGGTAGGGTGGGGCTACAATGGGTGATCAAGTTTTAAATCGGACTATACAGGAAAAATAATCTGCTGATGACGTACAAGAAGGGCCATAGTTACTCAGGTGAGCATTGTGGCCCATAGTTAGTCTTCTAGTGTACATGAATACAGGTTACCTGAAAAATTTGCAAAATTGTGTAATTTGATTAGATTAACTAGTTACATGCAATTGGTCAAAGTGTTACTTTAAATGCAGTGCATACCGATGGAATAAAATATGAAATGTTCAACATTACGATGAAGTTTCAAGACCTTTAAAAATTTTCTTACTTTGGCTTGTGTAGAAAGTTTGGTTTGGAATTGAAGAGAAATAGACAGTGAAAATCAATGGCTCTATAATTTTAATCTTATAATTCGGTTCATCGTCGCAAACCAAAATTGCATGGCCAAAATTTGCGATCCTCTTTCATTGTAGGAGACAGCTCTATAGATGAACTCCGGACCGTGGCTTGAGACGATATATTCCGTTTTAATTTTTTCTCAGTGTGTTAATTAATAGCTTGAATACCCTAAATGTCATGTTAAATGGTCTGAACCCCCAAGACATAATCAGATTTTTAAAAAAGTTAATTTTATCACATTATTAATCAGAGTATGTGTAATGTTCGATAAACATTTAAAGTTCAAAAGGCACTGTGCCGTTTTGTGGCTGTCTTCGTTCCAGAAGTCTCTGTGCTGTAAATGCGAAACATTAAGGATATGTAAGCTGTATAACCGTCGGATAAAAAATGAAGACTATTTTGAAGTTCTTATATCCCGTCGTGGTATTTCTGATTGTGTTCATGCTCACATATGTCCTTTTCTATCGAATGGCTAAAAAGTATCAAATTGTTCCTAAAAGTGAACCTAAGAAGACGGATCTCGGCCTCGACTATGAGACTGAAGAAGACATCGAGGAAATAGAAATGCCTTCCTTTGATATCGATTTGAAATTAGTTAAAGCTGTAGATAAGCTTCAACAACACCAGACTCCTGATATTGGACCAGTAAACTTAGAAAAATTTAACTATATGCTAAATCCGAGAGGTGCCTGTGATGGATTTCAGAAGGAGACCAATGCTTCGTGTGTTCTCGTGTTGGTGAAAAGCGCCCCGGATCACGCGCGCCTTAGGCAGTGGTTGAGAGTACTGATGAATGATACCATAGGCAAGTACGGCAAAAATCTGCGATTGCTTTTCTTGTTAGGATTTTCCAAGAAGAATAACAGGGATATTTATCAAGAGGGCATCAAATACGGCGATATAATTCAGAGAGATTTCATTGATACGTACAGAAATCTGACATTCAAAACTAAAATGGGCTACGAATGGGCATCGTCCTTTTGTAAGTCTGCCAGCTTTATTGTATTCCAAGATGACGATTTCTTCATCAATGTCAAGAACGTGTTCGACTTCCTTTCTCGGCAGTATAAACCTGATGACTTGTTTATAGGATATCTGGTCCCCGCAGGGGCGTCAGTTGTCAGAGAACGAGCCAGTAAATGGTTCGTGTCCAACATTGTGTTTTCTAGTGATGCTTTTCCTCCATATTTTCCTGGTGGTAGTTACTTTGTTAGTTCGAGAATAGCAAAGAGATTGACTCTGGCTTTCCCGTACGTACAGGATATTCCTGTTGATGACGTATACTTAGGACTCGTGGCATCAAAACTGGGCATTCCTCTAAAACATTCTTCTCTCTTTGATTTTGCAAACTGTCAAAATTGGAATAAATGTTTGGCATGTAAAGCCTTTATATAAAACATGATGATTGTTTTATGATTTCGTATTCCATTCATACCCTGTGTACATGTAGTTTTCTGTGTCCTTTTATTTTTCACTAGGTTCACTTTATGCATAAAATGGCCCTGTAGATATACCAATTTTTTTACTAATACCCCGTGTACCATTTTCAACATTACTATAAAGTAGAGACTTAGTGCTTTCAGTTTATACAGCAGAATTTCCTTTGAATAGTCCAGGCATTGAAAAACAGGTTGTGTGAAATTGCAATGTTATTGAATTTTGCAGAAAACAGGTGTTTCTGAAAACCTTCAGCAAAGAATTAAAATATGAGCACACCCCTCGATCCAAAAATTAAAATTTGTTTTCTAATCTCCATTAACAGTTCTTTTATAATATATTTACACATTTTGGATCGGAGGTTGTGCTGTATACGAAATATTGAAAAAAGACATCATATTTTGGCCATTTTTGAAGAAATATTCAGGATATGTGAATAATGACGCAATTCATGACGTCATAATGCATTGACTAGAAAGAAAATTACGTCATTTTCAGTAGATATTCATTCACCAAGTGCTCAAGTATTATTTATTGTCTTGTTGACTAAAACTATACAGTTTTGAATTTTCAGAAATTCACAGGGCCAAAAAAGGCCATAAGTGGCTCAAGATTGCTCTTTGTCTAAAGTCTCAATACATATATATTAATTATATATTGCAAGTTAACTTTCTTTGAACCCTTTTCTTTTCATCAGAATATGCATATATATATAAGAACAGTATTTGTGGCTCTGTATGAAATTTAGAAATTATAAATGACGGGAAGACCTATTTAGAGTTTACAGATTCCCCCATACACTAATCAGCTACATGTAATAAGCGTATTCATTTTAAGGATGAGCACTCATCAGCCAGGAACAATAAATCTCAAAATGACAATTTAATTGAATTCTCAAAGTGAAACTTGAAATTGAAAATTTTTTCGATTAACAACTTTCATTTCATGCATCTTAAACTACGTTTTAAGATTTTTTGAAGTCTTATCGAACAGTCTTGTAAAAAGTAGCCATTTGTACCCCCATAACAGTAAAATAATGATATTAAAAAACATAATTTAAAAAAAGAGAAGATTACGTACATTGTGAACCACGGTGACTTTTTGTGAGCATTACTAAGAACTTTTTTTCCTGAGGAGCAGACTACTGTAAATTACATTAAAATGCCCCCCCCCCCCCCAACATCCCTTCTTCCCAAGAAAAGCAAGTGTTTCCATGAAAAAAAGTGTACATGTAAATTTTCTGTTTTAATAAGCACAATTATCTTCGAGGGTTGAAAAAAAAAACATGTTTGTGTATCATAATTAAAGTGTGGACTTATGATTTCATTATTTTATGGAGAAGCTGTATAGCCCTCCCCCTCCCAAAATATTGCTGTGTATTTTGTAAAAAAAAAAAAGGGGGGGCTGATATAGATTGTATGCTTTGTTAATGGCCCTATTTGAATATTCATATCACTAACTCGGCAGCATATTATAATGTATACTACTATGCATATCGAGTGATTTTTGACATATATTTTAATTATATAATCACGCACTTTCTAAAGAAAGTTCGGGGAAATTGTTATCTTGGTCCGTCCGTCCTTCACACTATCTTCTTCCTCAAACTCCTCTTAAATTTTATAAAGATTAAATGGTAACTATCACTAGTTGTCATATTGTAACTAGTTGTCGTGTTGTAAATTTTGTATTAAATTCAAGATTTTACATCATCAAAGTGTAATTTAAGTACGACCTACTGAATGATACGAAAATATCGTAGAACGATCTGTCTTGACCTTCTTATTAGCGCGAAATTTGGAATCAGGAATGTCATGAAAGATGACAGGTTTGTAAATAAACAAAATAGTACATTAAAGGACCTTCACTCGGACAGATGGTGACCTTATTTGAGATTATATGTATTACTATTTTTTTTCTTTTAATTTAGATTGTTTTGCTTTTCTCGAGAAGCTAGAGCGAGAAAATAGCGAAGGAAAGGAAAGCGACCTTTTACAGAAATGGATACACCTAAAGTCAGTCAGGGAAAAGTTACTCACAAAGCTAGATCATTTGAATAGAACTGAGGTACGGTTATTTGATTGTTTGTCAAGAGGAACTTAATTACTGACTAAGTCCTAATCAATTTCTTGCAAACGCTAAAACAGGTCCAGTCTAAAGACTATTTCTACTTATGTAGCTACCTAGGTATTTAAACTTACTCCTGGCTTCGGGGCCACCAACATATAAAAATCTCAGCTCAAATCTCAACCTCAAATCTTAGATTTCTGCCTCACCTGAGATTTTCCTAAAACACCGTGCCACCAACATTTCTGAGATTCGTCTCACGTAAGCAGAGATTTGAGAAAAATCTTAGACTTATTCTCGTTGTTATATGCGACCTTTTTTTCTGATAATGCACAAATTTGTTGAATTAATGATTGAATTTACCTTTTAGTCAGTTGTTAATGCAATATTTTGGTGTTTAATCGCGAAAATACACATCCCCCACTTCCTACGTCTTTTATTTGCTGTTTCGAGTCACTCAACGGAAAGGATTCCATTACGATCTTTGCGACAATAAATATTCACCGAGTCCCCGTAAAATAAATCGTATACAGAAGAATAACACAAAACATATCCAAACTTTATAGTCTTGGTTCGTCTGTCTACATAAACACACAAAAATATACACCGAGGCGTCACTTCCGCCATTGTGACGTTACGTGTCGAAAGATTACAAAGAGTAGATAGGCGGATCAAGACTATATATTTACAGGCCGATTACACAATTTTTTTTCTTTTATTTTGTTTTTTACAAAGTCAGAAATATCTATTACATTTTACTCTCCATAGCAAAAATGTTTTAAATATAGGGAGTTTTTGTCCCTATTTAGAATAATTTTTTTAAAAAAATCATCGTTTCAAGCGATCAGAGAAAATAGATTTTACCGCTGCGAAATGATGATTTTAATACTGCAAACTCGGCATTAACAATGATAAAGAAAACACCGAGTAATTTTTTTTCTACCTGATTAAATCCTTATTTTCTCACATGATAATTTTCTTGAGTGTTCCGTAAAATTCGTGCATAAGTTGCGACAGAAAAAATGTCCAAGGCGAGTAACATAATTACAATTCAATTCAATATATACATGTATGCTTGGTTTTACTTGAACCCAAGAAGATGGGCGTGTTTGGTGTGTGATCTGCAGGAATAAGGCGTACGAAACATTTATAGTTCAAATGTCTACGATTTGGTCGGCTGACCACAGCTGGACACACTTTACAAAGTTACGCACATGGGAAAATGTTACATTTAGTTTGAAATACTGTGTCGAATTTAATATATCAGTCCGCTTAACTTAATAATTACTACATGTAAAACGTAGTAACTCTTCACGTAAGTAATAAACACCTATGGGGTATAGTTAAATGCAATTACATTAACTATATATTAAAGTGTCAGTAGGTTAGAAAAATTGCTTTCGCTTTCGGTGCAACAGAACCAGAATTTATCTATTTGAAAATAAATCAGTACATAAAATTAAACTGACAAAAGAATTGATTGTTTGCACTAAAAAAAATATTAACGCTCCATGCGAGGATCGAACCAAAAATATTAATTTATCATTGCACTGGACGGGTAACTCATACTACTGAGCTATCACCGCTCCACACACTTTATGGTTTTTAAAGCGACAATGAAGCACTGCATTTACACGTTGGAATTTTTTTGGAAAAAGTTCATTTTTAATTGTCTCTGGGTCTTCTCTCCATTTTTTACAAATGTTTATTCGTTTCTTTGAATTAAAATGCACACAAATAACGTTTCAAAATCATGGAGAGATGACCCAGAGGTAGCAAATTTTTAGAAAAACGTGTTTGAAAATGTAACATTTTGTACCAAATGACTCATCTAGCCAATTTTCAAGTTCTTTTTTAGCAAATCAAAATACAATATCGGGAAAATATTTTCATTTCCTATTTCACAGGAACCCAATACAGGAAAAGAATGCTAAAATTTTATGTGACAGATCAATGAAATTTTCACTTTTTAAGTGCGCCCAGATTCCTGCCGAATGCCAATGAAAGGCGCCCTTGTTCTTTATCAAATTGTTTAATGTGATTATGTCAGTTATTTCAGGTACATGTATACACACCCCTTCCCCCGAGGAAACAAAAAACAAAAACCAAAAAAAAAAAAAAAAAAAAAAAAAACAACCTGAAATTGAACTATACGGACATGTATGTAGGGACGAGGCTAAATAACACATCACATTTTCCACGATCCCGTGATAAAATGTCACAGGAAAAATATTCTTCTTTTCAGATATAATATATATAATAATAATTAATTTCAGATATAATAACAAAGAATATAGTGAGCAATATTCGTTGTTACACTGGTTACCTAAATCAATCTAACAATCACTTATCAAGTGACGATTAACTGATTATAATTCCTATGAAAAGTTTCACGGCGTAATCATGTACTATTTGAAACTTAGGACCATACTTGTCTAATCTCAAAATGTAACTGGTCGTATTAAAAAAAGTCTGGTTTATTCTTTCAAATAATATAAACGGTCAGGGATTTTTGTGTGCGATGCATAGTGTGTATAAAGCAGATGCCCATACGCGGATCTAGAGGGGGGAGGTGGTCGCCCCCCCTCACCCCCCACCCCCACCCCGGAATTTGCATGCAAAGTTATTGAAAGTATATACTGAATCAAATAAAAATTGATTTTGGACCCCCCCCCCCTGAAAACGTGGACCCCACCACTACCACAACGAAATAGGTTTTTCACGTTTGTGAAACGGATTTTTTTTCTTTTCAAGAAATTTTCGGGGTTTTATACTTTTGGGAAAGCAGTTTTGCTTGTCAAGAAATTTCTGGTTTGGATTTTTTTTTTTGACTTGGGTGGACCCCCCCCCCCCCCCCCCCCCAACACTGGAAAGAATTCCGGGATACCTATTCTCAATTAGGAATTTTATAGATTTAGTGAAGATCCAGATTAGACAGATTGCTATCATCAGTGATTAATAAATGGTGATTTATAAATTATTTTGAAAGCATAGCAATATTTTACACAAAATTTTGGACAATGTTCTTTTAATATTTGCGTATAATTTACACAAATATGTATATACGTATATTGTACAAGTAAAAAATAACTACCGGAAAAAGAACAAAGAAGAGGCCGTGAAGATTTAATATTATCTAATCATATTTTCTTTTCTGATATACATGTATATATAATGTGAATTGATAAATTTGCCTGACCATACATAGCACACTAAAATATGAATTTAATTAATAAATGAAAATAATTCTTGCATGAATGAAGATATACATGTTATGTAAAACGTGTCACAAGAATATTGCTTTTATTCCTTATTATTATTATTTTTTTTTTGTTTCAATGCGTGGACAATATTATGACATTTTTTACATGTGCGCAAGCCCCTCCTCCCCTTTCTTAAAAACGTATGATCTTGTTTTGGAAGAAATAAACATGCTCTCTGTGTTTGCACGTTAATTTCATGTATTCATGGATTAACCTGTGCACTGTCATAATATTTGCAAACATTTTACCATAAAATAATTCTTTGAGATTTTATTTGAGACTACTATGTACCAATCTCAAGATTTTCTGAGAAATCTCAGATTTTTTTCTCAGCTGAGTCGGAAAAAACGTTGGTGGCACACACGTTTCAGAGAAATCTCAGATTTGAGAAAAATCTCAGATTTAAGAAAAAACTCAAGAAATAAGTCTGAGTTTGAGAAAATATTTCATTGGTGGCACAGTTCGGTGAGAAAAACTCAAATTTTCTGAGAAATCTCAGATTTGAGAAAATCTCAGCGTTGGTGGCCCCGAAGCCAGGAGTCCGAGTCCATGAACTATTTTTACCCACTTTTTGCTTTACTCGCATTTTGTGGCAAATCGCAGGAATGGCGCAATATGGTGAGTACCAATTTTCTTGATATAGTCACACTGACGATGCATTTGACAAAAATTTTGTCCAAAAAATAATTACTTTCTAACTAAGTTATCAATTTTGCATCAAAAGCTACACCCATGTTTCAAAATTGTGAAAAATTGCTTTGAAAAGGCTAAATAAAGCTACTTCAAGTAGGTAAATAAAGCTACGGTAGGAAATTATTTTAAGCTACATCGCTAAATCTAGTGATTGTACCAGACCTGTATATACATGTATATATATATAATTATATATATATATATAGAGTGAGAGAGAGAAAGAAAGATAAAGAGAGAGAGAACCTGTCTGGATGTAAGAATGCCTTGGTTTACGACATTTTTTATACTACTGTTAATTATTATTCAAAATTTTGGATAAATTAATTAATTCAGGAATTTTTAATCATGTTCAGAATACTAGTATTTCAGTCTACATATCATGATGTGTATCATGCAACAAAAAAATCATAGTATTCTGGTATACCAATAAAATTGCACATCCCTAGTGACAAGTATATTAAAGTTCTTACTGGATAATAAATTCCTCTGCAAAGTACTATAAGCATGTACTTTTTTCCATGGGGTCATAATTCTTCCATTCAATTCACGGGTTGAAAATAATGAGGATTTCTTGGAATGCATGGTATACATGTCTTAATCACTTTAGTTTAAGTATGTTGTGACAAATTTCTTTGGAAAATTTGTGACCCGACTTATTGCGTAAATTAATCCCACATGGAAAAATGTACATGTATAGTATATTTGTTTTTTCAGTTGTTGTTGTTTTTATGTTTTAGTAAAAAAATTAAATAATGCATCTTTTTTTATATATGTTAAGATCTGTAGCTCGCTGGACTGAAAAAAATTGGGATGGACGACCATAGGGCTACAGTGCCACCCATTGAAAAAAGTGTACATTTATTGTGCTGTGTAAAATATATGGAAAAATAAATAAAAAAAAAACAGGACACTTTTATGCACAATCAATACATCGATCTATACACTTTTTTATACGCTCGTCTTATGACGGGACGTATTATGTTATAGCGTTCATGTCCGTCCTTCTGTCTGTTAGCTTTTTTGTGTCCGGCTCATAACTTTAATACCATTAGGCCTAGAATTATCAAACTTTGTCAGCTGATACTTCTTGGGTAGAAGGTGTGTCGCACATTAAAAGTAGGTCACTCTGACCTTTAATTAAGATGCTATGGCCAAATATTGAAAAATCCTGTCCGGCTCATAACTAGAAAACTATTAGACCTAGAATCATCAAACTTGGCCAATATATGCATCTTGGGTAGAAGGTGTGTTGCGACCTATTTCAAGGTTACTGAGACCTTTAATTTAAGTGAAATTTAAAAAAAAAAAATGTCTTTTAACTTTTAAATTACACAATCCCAAAAGATGTAAGAGTATTGCAGTATCCTTATTTAAAAGATATTAAATCAAGAAAATACTTATTTTTTTCATTAAAAATTTACAGCAATCTGTAACAAATGTAATGTTATAAGAGAAATTCCACCTCTCCCATGGGAGTAATTATCAAGCTCTGGTCAAGAAGAATTTTGATAACAGAAAATAGCATGTCAAATTAGAGAAAAATTAATGAGTTTAGTGTAAGGAGATAACTGGTAGAGCATCTCTGATCAAGCAGGTGTTATCTATATCTCTTGGGAATCAGTCTCTTAATTGAATAGTGTTGTTGGTTAGTCTAACTTTCAAGATAAATTTGATGTAAAGTAATTAAAACTAGTTTGATATTGTATAATATAATTAAAACTAATTATATATTGTATTTATTTTTTTATTTTAATTTTTATATCTTTACAACAAATTGCAGAGTGTCATGTCTCACTATTAAAGACACAAATTTATAGTCTAAAGAATAAACATAATTTGTTTTGATGTTTTATTAGGCTGTAGCATTGTTAATCCATCATAAAATATACAATAAACAAAGCTGCAGACGAGCATTTGTTCAGCTCTACAAAAACCAAAGGAGAAATATATGATGTATTATTTGTTATAATTAATACATACACCACAGGAGATGTATGTACATCAAACATTATATAGGGATGTCAAAATGTTTATTTTCCTTAGTTGATCATTCGATTGCATTATTCGAACGATAGTCAAATATTCGGAACATTTTCTGAAAATAAAATTTTATTTTATACTTCATTGGTCATGTTGGTACAGTGTACATACTCAGAAACCTTTTTACTTAAATCTATTTAAAAAGTAACATCAAAATTAATGTAACGTAATGCGTGGATAGCATGATTCTATGAAATAAATTTAGAAACCTAATTCTCCAAAATTTATCATTTACCCGGAAATAGAATTCATAAATCGGCCTGTACATACAGTCATTTTTATTGAGTAAGCATTAAAAAATTACCAGCCGATATTTTTAAAAGCTTATTATGAAATAAAATGGAGGAGGGGGGCTATCAAAATGTCCTCAAACTAGGGATGGGTATTGCCAAAAATTTTGTATCGTGATATATCACGATTTTTTTCCAAAAATATCACGATAAATTGTGATATTTTTACACACAATTTTTACTACAATTTCAAATAAATAACTCATAATATTTCTTTAAAATATGCTATAAAAACATAACTTTACTTTTGAATTTTTTATTTATTTAATATAAAGCATGTTTGGATGAAATTGTTTAATTGTTTTCAACATATTTTTTAGTACACTTCCTGTAATTGTCATTCAATAGTTTGAACAAATAAATGAATAATTTCCGGAATCCATAGTTGTGTACTAAATACCGGTATTTTAGTCTCCGTATCACGATACGTATCACGCAACAAAAAATCGCGATATACCGGTATACCGATAAAATCGCACATCCCTACCTCAAACAGTTTAAAATGTAAGTGCATTGTTTTAATAATTATCGAAGTATCAAAACAGGTTTATTCCTTGCATTTGAGCAAACTTAAAATAACAAAAGATAATTGTCCAGTAAATAATTTTACAAACAAAGCCCATTATATTGGTTGGTAATTTATTACAAAAACAACACAGGCAGTTACTGACAATTAATTCTCGCAGTAGTGAAGCATTTATAATTGCTGTACTTTCTATATGTACATGGAAAATCTACCGTTTTTTTTTTTTTGTTGAGGAAAATTATCGACTGTCTATGAGAAAAGACTGTTTCTCATTGTTTTGATGAGAATTCCATCTCATCTATCACTCATTTATTGCATTTATTTAGTTAAAATAATATTCGAATGTCGTTTCATTATTCGATCGTCGGTCCATTCGACTGATAGTCGAATAGTCGACTATTCGTTGACATCCCTAATTATAAGCAATGGAAAAATCATTGAAATCTTTGTATCAAGGTTAATATGATTTTCTTTCACTTTAGACTATTTATGATAATTGAACAATATTTGACGGGCGTATCATGCTGTGGCGGGGCACTTTATTATTCAATGGTGGCACTGTAGCTCTCTGGTCGTCCATCCCAATTTTTTTTCAGACCAGCGAGCTACAGGTCTGCAGCGTTATGTATGTTTACATGTAGCTTTGATTACACATTTGGTAATTTAAATGAAGTTCTAGCATAGGTATTCTTCAAAATGAATGATGTGAATACATAATTATTTGAAGTTTTGGCATACACTGGGGCTGTGGTAAAATGTTTGTTAAAAAGTGAATGAAACAAGTGGAAGAAGATGCATATGATTATACATTAGAACAGAATAGATGAATAATCATACTTGCAACTTCCAACATGTTAAAATCTGGACATGACCTTATTTGGAAAGTAAAAAATCTGGTCATGACGCGTAACAACATTCACAACATATTTACTTTGATTAGAATTATTTATTGAAAAGAAGCTTGGTAAATTACAATGGCAAAATCTGCATGAATATTTCATTAATTGAATTCATTGATTAAATTTACATATTAAAAGGGCATTGGGGGTTCATTGTTTAGTATTAACCTTAATTAAGTGTTTTAAATACTGAAAGCCCCTTCAGAATCTGCATTACTGATTGGAGGGAACATGGGAAGTTTGAGCTTATTTTGAAAGTATTCAAATATTAACTTTGAAGTATTTTATCCAGACCTTATAAACAAGTGTATTATATAATGTACAGTTAGCCTCACATTATCTTCAGTAACTTTATTTTATCTAATGAAAGTTATTTTCCAAGATTCTTGGATAAGTACATAAATATCATTTTTCTTGGTTTTGTTCCTGTTGACCCTTATAATGATCTCATTCTATCAGAAGCCACTTTATAATGATTTCAAACTTTGATCTGTCAAAACAGCTCCTAGATAATTGTTAACACTGCACTAATGATTCACTGTTTTTTAGCTGGAAATCAAAAGTGCAAACAAATTTACAAACCAAATCTGGAAATTGGAAGATTTTTTGTTTTTCAGCAAAAATTGTGTGAAAAGCATGTCCCATTGTGTCGTAAATAATAATTGGGTTACAGGTCGGAAAATTGGGTATAACCAGATGAAATCGGGAGAGTTGGCAACTATTGGTGTATTCAGGATTATTTTGGTCAAAATAGTCAATGGCATTCTTTTAGTATGACCTGACATTGGTTATTGAATTTAAGAAACAAAAAGATTGAGAAGACAAATTATATTTATATCTCACAGGCAACATGTAAGAGTCCTCTCCACAAGGTTCACCCTGTCAGTAATTGTTCATGAGGTAAAAATCGTTGATTTTAAAGAGAAAGTTCAGATAGGAGCCATTGAAGAAAAATAAATTTTACAACATGCACTCTTGCCCACATTTATAATAGAGCCTAAAGGTGCATGAATTCATTATATATTTCAGAGTCAATTAGAAGAAGAAATAGAAAGAGAGCTTTTTGGACAGCAGTCAGAAACTGAGAATGAGGAGCTGGCAGAGAGACATCAGTATTTACAAGATTTACTCAATTTATACAGGATCACAGGTAGGAATAACTTAAAGAGTCATTAGAAAATAGCAACACATACAGGGCCAAAATATGTTATTGGCCTTTAGATTTCATTGAGGACATTGGTTTATCATGTGACATACAGAATACTTCAAGTTTTGATTATGCTGATATCAAATTGTGGAACCCCAGGCAACGTTAAAGGCAGTTTTAGAGAGAGGAGTGGGGGTATAGGAGATCCATCTCTCTTTTTAGGAATTATAAATATCAAAATCCATGATGTAATTGGTTTATTTAAACGCATATAATATATGTGACTTTGTTTATGTTCTTCATTAATGAAATCGGCATAAGTGTCATTAGAGCAAAGTTTGCTGCCAGAGGGAAGAGCATTAAAAAGAAATTTGAGAGCATTTTCAGTGGTGGATATCTTTTTTCAGGTACACATGTATGCCATGAGGACAAGGAGCAGTTAACAGTTTGTTTGGATGCCTCTTATTATGACACTGTTTTAGAATCTTACCTTATAGAATTAAAGAATAAAGATAATGGATATGTAATACTAAGGCATTCATTGCCTGAGTTCATCCCCACACTTCAGCTGGAGAAGGACCACCTGACTACAGGAGATATTGCATCATTTCTGTCCATCATTAGGAACTATGTGCAAGCATACATATTCAAAAGAGAGGAACACAGGAGAGTGAAGGTTTGATTGATTTTAAATGATTAAGGTTTGAGATTGTAGTTTGCAATATTTCTTTAGTAAAATACTCGACAAAAGAGCAGAACAGTATTGCATAGTTATTGATCAAGACACAATCAAAATGGTGAAATGATTTCTACATTTAGCAGTGTCATTTTTATTTTCAATTTTAAGGAAGTGATTGAGGGAAACGGTTTTTCATGTGACATCCAGAACACTTCAAGTTATGATTATGTCGAGATCAAGTTAGAGGACCCCAAACAACTTTATAGAATGAAACTGGTCTTTAGATTACTAAGTGTTTTGCCAGAGAGAGTTCAGATAGGTAAGAGAAATTGCAATATACATTACATGTAACATGACAGATAGCACCTTACAAAATGCTATAACAATAATGATGAATTACTACGTCCATGTATTTATAGAGGAAGATTCAGAGACACAGAGAAACATCAAAGACTGGAAGAATATATTTTTATCCAAACCACTTGCTGATTCTGTTTCTGAGATAGTGACAGACATTTTAAAATGATTTAGATAGACATCAATTTCTATTGAGTTTCTGTTATGAAACAGTGTTTCTGCTAAAGCAGCTGTACAATAGTTTTTTGTATATCTTATCAACTATATACATATTTTTTCTTCACATGTGTGAAGTCTACTGGAGGTATATGTACTAAGAAATGTACTGTACCAGTTATTCATTTGGGATTCTTACATTATTTACATCAGTCATGGCATAAACTACATACTTTCTATATGTGAAAGATACATTAAAATTAAATTTTGTCTCTAACTTAAACTTACTAGTATCTTTTTAAATAATGTTGGAAAAATCTGTTGAAATGTCAACATAAATTAAAAAAAAAATTGAATTAGATCTTTTTAAGAGTTATCTCTCTTGCAAGCACTCTTCTGTATAGTAAAGGTAAGAGGTGTACTTGAAATCAGCTGATAAATGATAACAATAACAAACACATTGTGAATGATTGCATCTCTTATGATAGATGATGGTCTACATCTTATCAGAAAATGAGGACACATTCACTTGGTGAAGTACAGGAGCTGCTGATAAAGTGTGTGTGTATTTGCATGGACTTAGGGGGGTTGTAACAAGTTATCAATGTTATAGAATTGTTTTCTTATCCCTGTTAAGGAGAAATTAATGACAATGAGTATTGATTCAAGTACAGAAGATCCTATGGATTACCTTAAACCAAAGTCCATGGAAAAGGACCCCCTGCTGGGGAAAATTACACATGCAAGCGCACCAGCAGGTGAGGTTTTGTCTACATACACCAACACTTGTTATATATATATATATATATATATATATATATATATATATATATATATATATATATATATATATATATATATATATATATATATATATATAATATTTGGAAGTACAGTGTTTACAGACACACTTGAATGTGATTTTTCTTCAGATTGGTACAGATACTCAATGTACTGGTATATATATATATATATATATATATATATATATATATATATATATATATATATATATATATATATATATATATATATATATATATATAAACAAATTTTGTTTCATTTTTAGCTAAAATTTAGACAGAATTGCAGTCACAGGCATTTCAAAGTAGTATCATTATTTCACTAAGTATATGACCTGTACTATATTATGCATGCGATTGACATATTGATGTGAACTTAAAATATCCAAGATTGCATTTATTATAATTTGTATATATATATCATGCAGGAGATAGTCTAATTATTATTTATTATGCCATATGATGTTATTCAAATATGGAGAGTAAAAAAGATAGTACATATTTCTTCTATATTTGTGATCTTACAGGTTTTGGAAGTCGGCACGTTTTGACTCTCTTAGGGTTCCTCGGGTTCTTTAATGTTTACTGTTTACGTGTAAATCTGAGTGTTGCCTTAGTTGCTATGGTAAACTCCTCAAATAGTGACGCATCGGATAATACTACAGATTGTAAAAATGACATTCCTGCCAATACATCATCAGCTAGTACTGTAAGTATAAATTTTTTATAGTACTGCACTGAGACTGCTGCAGTTGTAATTTTCATATTTGTAATAAACATGTTAATTCTGTTGAGTAGAATTATAAAAATGGGTAATGTACATATATTTAACAATAGATAATTCATTCCATATTTGTTTATATTATAAATCTACTTTTAGATTATTTCTCAATGAAACACAAGGGATCCCACAGTTAAGCATTTAAAAAATAAATTACAATGATGGGCATTGTACATGTTATACATGTTGAAGTAAAATTTTTCATTTGAATGGAAGTTTGGGTCTTTCTTATCAAATGTCAATTGTTACATAATGATGCCCTTTTCTTAAGAATTGAGAAAACAATATTTATTGCAGTGTTTTAAGACACCCCAGTCTCTGAGACTAACAGTGTCAGTTTTGCTGAAGTGGGGATTTTATGAAGTTGGGAGAGAGATTGGGAGTCTCCCGCTTCTGTAGAACACATGTAACGAATATGTACATAATTTCATATATTTATTTGTCATGTCTATTGAAGTTATCACAACATGTGTATCAACTGAACATGTGTTTACCCATTGTTCATGTAGACTGCCAGTCTGATTGGCTATTGTATAAATTATGGATCATACCTGTTCTACGGGTTTTTGAATGAAGCAAGTGAGAAAATTTATGACAATTGAGGGTTCTCTTTCTCAGTGCAGACTAATGTTTTTCTGCACATTCTCCCCTACAATTAATGTTTTCTCCTTTCAGAAGAAATGGGCGTATCATTATGTAACAACCAAAGTTCAAAAGAAAGCTCAAAATGTTTCATTCAAACAGAAAATTTTACCACTTCAATGTGCATCATTGTATCAGTGACTTGTAAAATATGAATTGGTAACAACACTTAAATTTAAGAATTAAATGATCAATTTTTGTAAATTTTCATTAAATGTTGAAGTGCCATAATTCACACATGGCATGTATCCAGATTCATATACAATCTAAATGTGTCCTTGTGTTTAACATGTACCTGATTTGAATATGCATGCTCATATGTTATTTAGGACAAGCGTATTGTTGTGGAAAAATAATAATGCATTACAGAGGACAAACAATTACTCTGATGGAATGTTAGTGCAAAAGTGATCCAATGAAATCAAAGGAGTGTGTGTGTTTTATAATTAACAGGGTGAGTTTGATTGGGATACAAACACACAGTCCCAAGTGTTGGGGGCATTTTTCTATGGTTACATCATCACACAGATTCCTGGAGGGTGGCTGGCAGAGGTATTTGGGGGTAAAAAGCTTTTTGGACTCGGAGTTCTTTGCACAGCTGTTCTAACCTTATTGACCCCCCTAGCAGCTCGATGGAACTTGTATGTCTTCATTGCTCTCAGAATCGTAGAAGGAATAGGAGAGGTGAACTTTTGCATTCCAGGATTACTTTTAACATAACATATTATTAAAAGTGGTAAAAGAAGAAAATAAAAGTGTTGAATGTTGAACAGGTTATCTGGACAAATTTTGTCTCTCTCCAGCATGTTTACACATTTCCAACTTCTATGCCACTTTTTTTTCCAAAATGGAACTTTAAAGTTTGCAGGGGGAAAAAAGCCACCTGTCACCCATCTGCTGTCATTTTTTTTACCCTTTGTTTTTTCATTCTAGTAGTATTTAGAAATTACAATAAGATTTCATAGAACTCATGACAAAATGGGCTGAAAATAGTAACTTTTACGGAACAATTATGTTACATCACTCAAGTGAATGGATGTGATTATTGCTTGACAAATGCTCACATCCACTTGTCTGTCTCTGTTAGACTCATGGTTGAAAAACTTCATACTTTGAGGTTGCACCATGTGGTCATAACTTTGCTTATAAAAATGCTGACAATTTATTTAAAGATAAAACAATTGACTTATAGTTTATTTTGTAGTCAGAAAAGATGATACCAAATGTGCAAAATTTCACTGATGTACCTAAAGTGGTTTGAATTTTATGGCTCCAGTCCACAAACTTTTCCATAACCTTTCGTATGAACATGCATACATTTATATCCATAGACCATTGATCTTATTCATCTTTTAGTTGTTTTGTATGATGTTATTGAAACTATTTCAAATGCTATTTTAGGGTGTGACTTTTCCAGCCATGAATGCCATGTGGGGGAAATGGGCTCCTCTTTGGGAGCGAAGCAAACTACTGAGCTTTACTTATGCTGGTGAGTGCAGGGATAAACATTAACTTTCATATTCACTTGTCCTTTGGGCAAGTGAACTCAAATTTTGACTTGTCTGAATGTAAAACTTGGTTGCCCAAACTTTAGAAAGAAGAAAATACGAGTAATTTAATTTATGTTTATAAATAATGTGTGATAAAGTACTTTAAAAAATGTTGACGTGCCGGTGATCTTACAATTGTAAATACATGTATACCACAGTCCTTTCATTTATCCTGTAAACTCACACTGCCATGCAGCAGTATATATTTTCTTTAAAATAAAATTCATATTTTAAAAATACATATACATTATTTTGATTTTTTTCCTTTGGAAAACTGAGGCCTCACTAAAGGAAAACAGTTGCCATGTTTTGAAACATACATATCCTGATCAGAATACATAGTGTGCCAAGAATAACTGGTGTTCTGTGAGTGAAAAAATAAATTATTCTAATTTCATAATAAGAATGTAACTAAGTTGTCAGACGCAGAGCCATGTTTTGTCATGGACCGGAAAGAAAAGAGAAAACCAGCCCGATTTCTGAATAAAATGTAGAAACGCTTCCGAGGGATTCCGAATGCAAAACCATATGTCATGTTCTTGGTGGAAAGTGTTACCGTTTTGTTGAAAACTAAAGCAAAATTTTTTTTAAAAAGTTTCTATCGGAAATATCGGAAATATTCACTTGCCCTAACGGACAAGTGCATTGGCATTTTCACTTGCCCGAACTGGGAATTTACTTGCCCCGGGCAATCGGACAACCGTTAATGTCGATCCCTGGAGTGACTTTACATAAGCTGGTTATTGACTTGACTTATGCTGATTAGTGACTTGACTCATGCTGGTATGCGACTTTACATATGCTGGTTAGTGACTTGACTTATGCTGGTTAGTGACTTGACTTATGTTGGTTAGTGACTTGACTTATGCTGATTAGTGCTTTGACTTATGCTGACTAGTGACTACTTGTGCTGATTACTGACTTGACTTTTGCTGATTAGTGACTTGACTTATGCTGACTAGTGACTACTTATGCTGGTTAGTGACTTGACTAATGCTGATTAGTGACTTGACTTTTGCTGGTTAGTGACTACTTATGCTGGTTAGTGACTTGACTTATGCTTCTTATTGACTTGACTGCTGATTAGTGACTTTACATATGCTGTTTAGTGACTACTTATGCTGATAAGTGACTTGACTTATGCTGATTAGTGAATACCTTTGCTGGTTAGTGACTTGACTTATGCTGATTAGTGACTACTTATGCTGATTATTGCCTTTACTTATGCTGGTAAGTAACTTGACTTATGCTGGTTAGTGACTACTTATGCTGATAAGTGACTTTACTTATGCTGATTAGTGACTTGACTTAAGCTGATTAGTGACTTTACTTATGCTGATTAGTGACTTTACTTTTGCTGATTAGTGATTTTACTTATGCTGATTAGTGACTTGACTTAAGCTGGTTAGTGACTTTACTTATGCTGGTGAGTGAAAAAGAATTTATGGAACGATATTTGTCCTGGCTTTGAGACTAAATTTTCTTTATTTTGATTATGTCACAAGCAATGAATGCTTTGTCAGTGTTTGTAATTAGAAAATATTTTATGCAATTGAAACATAAAATTACACATATTATTTGAAAATGTTTATTGAGGTCTAATTTATTTCCAAACATGATTTTTTCATAAATCTTGCATACTATATATTCTGATACTTTTCCAATGAAAATTTATACATGTTTATCATACTGACAGAATCCATGATCAAGATGAAGGTAAGTTTAAATTGCAAACAAGTATAGGAATGATTGACGAGTAACCTGTTTGCATAACTCTTATTTAAAGTGATATGGTCTGTAATTTTGCGAATTTTGGATTATGTGATTAATATCAATAATATTGATTTTTTTGTGTCACTGAAAAATTAAAAGTTCACCAAATATCAAAAGCTACGGACCATGTTACTGTGAATACGGTACTCTGTCCTGATGGTAACATTATGGATGTTGTCACTGTCTTTTCATTTTGAGATGTACTGCTATGACAGAGATGTAATACCTTTTTGTACTCTCTTTCATTTATTTCTTAAAAAAATGAATTATATTATGTCATGAAGCAATTTATCTTAACATATTAAAAATAAAGTTCTGTTTTGAGGACAATATATAAATTAGATCTTAAAGAATGTAGGCTAAAAGGTGCCACAAGGAGAATCCCCCACCCTGAGACAAGATATTAGTATTTCTCATTTCTAAAAGTTTATAAAAAATTCCATTTTTTCAAAAGGTTTGTTTTCAGTATCATCTTTTACACATTTTATTCCTTTATTTCATCGAATTACTTATTGATAAATATTTTTTTCAGTTACGTTTTTTAAGGTATGTGAAAAAAAAGATAACCTCATACATGATTCCATCTTAGTCCAAAGCTTGAGGTGGGGCAGATTGTTAAATGCCTTCACCACTACTCTACACAGTCTTGTATCTTGAGTGTGTCAGTGTGATTTAAATGAGTTTGTTGATAATTTTTTCAGAAATTTCCAATTTTCATATACATGTAGAATGGGTTCAGACTCCATTTTTAGGTCACCGGAGTCACTCAGGTGACCTATTGCTATCTCTTTTCATCCGTCATCGTGCGACGTGCGTTGTGTGTTAACAATTGTACATTTTCAGCTTCTTCTCTGAAAGGGCTGAACCAATTTCAACCAGTTTTGGCATTAAGAATCTATTGGTGAAGGGGAACAAAAATTGTGAAATTCATGACCCCTGTCCCCCTGGGGCCTGAGGGGAGGGGCTAAAACCATCAAAATTAATGCAGTCTTTAAAAATCTTCTTTACTCATGGACATCAAGCAGACAAACTGTTAGCATGGTTGTAATTAGCATTGAGCCCTCTACCTATATTGTGAAATTCATGGTCCCAGGATCAGGGGTTCTGGTGCTAGGGTGGGGCTCTGTTGAATATATAGTGAAAATGCATTATTTCTTTTAAAATCTTCTCCTCTGCTCCTGGGTATTAAGCTGATAAACTAAGTGCATAGTAATGATGAGCAAAAGTGCCTTTTCCAAAATTGTGAATTTCGTGGCCCCAGGGTCAGGGGTTCTGGTGTTAGGGCGAGCTCTATGGATTATATAATGAATATGCATTAATTCTTTGAAAATCTTCCCTGTTCCTGGATATTATTTAAATTAACTAAGTACATGGTTATGATAAGGCAGGATGCCTCTTCCAAATTTGTGAATTTCATGGCCCCTTGGTCAGGGGTTCTGGTTTTAGGGTTGGGCTCTGTTGATTATATATTGAAAATGCATTAATTCTTTGAAAATCTTCTCCTCTGCTCCAGGGTATTAAACCAATGAACTTTGTGCATGGTTATAATGAGGAAGGATGCCTCTTCCAAAATTATGAATTTCATGACCCCTGGGTCAGGGGTTCTGGAGTTAGGGCGGGGTGCTATTGATTATATAGTAAAAAGGCATTAATTATTTGAAAATCTTCTCCTCTGCTCCAGGGTATTATACCAATGATCTAAGTACATGGTTATAATGAGCAAGGGTGCTTCTTCCAGAATTGTGAATTTCAAGCCCCTTGGGTCAGGGATACTGGGGGGGGGGGGGGCTCTAATGATTATATACTGAAAATAAATTAATGCTTTGAAATCTGCTTCTTGGTATTAATCAAACATTTATGATGAGCAAGTGCCTTTTTTAGCTCTACTGGTCAGAGACCAGAAGAGCTTATGCGATAGTAAGGTGTCCGTTGTCCGTCCGTCTGTCTGTCTGTCTGTCTGTCTGTCTGTCCGTCTGTCTGTAAACAATTTTTCAAAACGCTACTCCTCCTACAGTTTTGGTCCGATTTCAATATAACTTGGCACACAAGTAGACTACACTAAGATACATAATTTAGTGCATCGGTTTTTGATTTCGATGGACGGTGTTGCCATGGTTACTAAAAATAGAAATTTCTGTGAAATTCCTTTAAAACGCTACTCCTCCTACAGTTTTAGTCCGATTTCAATATAACTTGGCACAGAAGTAGACTACACTAAGATACATAATTTAGTGCATCGGTTTTTGATTTCGATGAACGGTGTTGCCATGGTTACTAAAAATAGAAATTTCTGTGAAATTCCTTTAAAACGCTACTCCTCCTACAGTTTTGGTCCGATTTCAATATAACTTGGCACACAAGTAGACTACACTAAGATACATAATTTAGTGCATTGGTTTTTGATTTCGATGAACGGTGTTGCCATGGTTACTAAAAATAGAAATTTCTGTGAAATTCCTTTAAAACGTTACTCCTCCTACAGTTTTAGTCCGATTTCAATATAACTTGGCACACAAGTAGACTACACTAAGATACATAATTTAGTGCATCGGTTTTTGATTTTCGATGAACGGTGTTGTCATGGTTACTAAAAATAGAAATTTCTGTGAAATTCCTTTAAAACGCTACTCCTCCTACAGTTTTGGTCCGATTTCAGTATAACTTGGCACACAAGTAGACTACACTTAGATACATAATTTAGTGCATCGGTTTTTGATTTCGATGGACGGTGTTGCCATGGTTACTAAAAATAGAAATTTCTGTGAAATTCCTTTAAAACGCTACTCCTCCTACAGTTTTGGTCTGATTTTAATATAACTTGGCACACAAGTAGACTACACTAAGATACATAATTTAGTGCATCGGTTTTTGATTTCGATGAACGGTGTTGCCATGGTTACTAAAAATAGAAATTTCTGTGAAATTCCTTTAAAACGCTACTCCTCCTACAGTTTTGGTACGATTTCAGTATAACTTGGCACACAAGTAGACTACACTAAGATACATAATTTAGTGCATCGGTTTTTGATTTCGATGGACGGTGTTGCCATGATTACTAAAATTAGAAATTTCTGTGAAATTCCTTTAAAACACTACTCCTGCTACAGTTTTAGTCCGATTTCAATGTAACTTGGCACACAAGTAGACTACACTAAGATACATAATTTAGTGCATCGGTTTTTGATTTCGATGGACGGTGTTGCCATGGTTACTAAAAATAGAAATTTCTGTGAAATTCCTTTAAAACACTACTCCTGCTACAGTTTTAGTCTGCTTCTAATATAATTAGGCATACAAGAAGACTATACTAAGATACATAATTTATTGCATTGGTTTTTGAATTCGATGAACAGTGTTGCCATGGTTACTTAAAATAGAAATTTCTGTGAAATTCCTTTAAAACGTTACTCCTCCTACAATTTTGGTCTGATTTCAATCTAATTTGGCACACAGTTAGAATACACTACGATACATAATATGTATTTCTGTTTTTTTTTATTTGGGTGAGTGGTGTTGTCATGGTTACCGGTACTAAAAATAGAAATTTCCGTGAAATACTTTCAAAACGCTACTACTCCTAGTTTTCATTTGTCATAATGATTTCAATATAACTTGTCACAAAAGTAGACTACATTAAGATACATAATTCTATTTATTGTTGCATGTTGCAATGTTTCAAATCCAAGTGCTACTTTTCTTTTGTTATACAAACAGACCAGTAGAGCTACAGTCTCATCAGAGACTTCTGGTTAGAATTTTGCTATAAATCCCCAGGGTCAGGGGTTCCTGTGGGGTGGGGCACTACTGATTATATGGTGGAAATGCATTTTTTCTTTGTTCCTCTGCTCTGCATCTGGGTATCAAGTAATCAAACTAAGCATGCTAAGTGTTTAATTATGATGAGCAATGGTGCCTCTTTCAGAATTGTGAATTTCTTGGCCTCTAGGTTAAAACATGAACCAAATTCAATTGTTGGAAAGTTGTTATGTTGTCTCAGAGCAGTGGATTGTCTTTGCCTTTGATGCCTTCCATTCATTATACATTTTTAAAAAACTTTGACCATTTTCATCTTCTCCTTTGAAATTCTGATTCAGTTTATCATTATTGGGTAAAAGAGACTGAGAAATGGGGTCAGAGACTCCAAAATTTTCCTTTTTATCCCAGAACTTTTAGAAGACAAACTTTTGACATAGTTAATCATTAGTAAGCTTCATTTAGCTTGTGTTTGTTTAGGGGTGGCTATCTTGTAGAAAGTACAATAAAAAATATTCCAATCCCTATCTTTTATTATGAATGCAGAGTAAGATCACAAATATTGCAAACTGTGCATGATACTTGTGTGATTCTCAAGGCCCCGGGCCTCAGTGAGAGAGATAAGCATACACTGATTAGCTGGCTGTGATATATAACACAATCTCCTTACAGGTGCTCAGTTAGGCACTGTGTTCTCCATGCCTATCTCAGGGATCCTGTGTAAATCAGACTTTTTAGGCGGCTGGCCGTCAGTATTTTACGTGTTTGGTAGGTATCAAAGAAAAAAACTAAAAAAATTGTGGAACAAAGAGGTTTGTTAAAAATTAATGGTTCTTGATGGCTGTCAAAAAACAAACAAATTCAACAATGAAACTTACTGATATTATCTAGGTGCCATTGGCTGTGTGTGGTTTGTTGTTTGGATGCTGGTTGTTCACGACACACCTGCTGAACATCCACGGATCTCAAAGGAGGAGAGAGATTACATTGAGACTTCTGTGGGAACACGATTAGTAAGCTCTCTGTGAAGGTTTTTGACCAGTTTTGTAGAATTAATTTTAAGATTAAGGTAGTTGGGTTTCCTTATATAAAACAGATTTATTCATGGTTACAAATAGAATACTAACAAGCATCAGTTTTCTAGACCAATGTTTGGTACAGAAACATTGAACAATGCATGGACAATGTGTTTTTTTTAGTCCTTTTGACAAAGTGAGGAAAATTAAAACATCACTAAATCTCCTGATTTACATTCACATCTGCACAACTAAATTGAATTTACTTCATAATTGATACAGTGTAATTGCATTGTCCAGTTGGAAAATGTTTTATTTTTAGAAAATGAAGACCCCCTGGTTGGCTATATGGACCTCCCCTGCTGTGTATGCTATCTGTGCAGCCCATTTTTCAAACAACTGGGGATTTTACACTATGCTAACCTGTTTACCCAGCTATATGAAGAGAATTCTTCATTTTGATGTGCAACAGGTATGCATCACTGATTTAAATGCACTACATATGTATACAGGAATTAAAAGTATTTGTATTTTGGACTCCTGGTGATTAAAAGATTTAATTTCATTTTTCTTATGTTGATATAACATAAAGGGATAATGTAAAAAGTAGATGAAGGTCTTATCATGATTAATGACACATGAAAGATCAACATTTAGTCTTTTGCTCTCATAAAATGATATTTCTGACTTTGAATGTTTTTTATAATTGTTTATACAAAAAAGATTTCTGTCTGCCCTGTCATGTTTATACCCCCTGCAAATGAAGTTTTGGGGGGATGTAGGATTCACGTCTGTCTGTCTGTGCAATCTTGTTCAGGCTATAACTTTGTAATGGAAATCATTGGAAGCTCATACTTCATTCAAAGGTTGTGTCATGACTTTGACCTAAGGTCATTCTGACAAGTTCAAGGTCACTGGCAGAAAAAAATAAAATCCTTGCCCTGGTCTACATCTTCTTTTTGGAGAAACATTGGAAGTTCATACTTCATACATAGATTGTTTATTACCTGAAAGTGTGTCATGACCTTGAACCAAGGTAAGTTTTTCAAGTCCAAGGGCATTCATATTTTTTTAAAAAAAAAAATTCTTGTTCTGACCATATCTTGTAATGGAGAACATTATAGGCACATACTAATTACTAATATTACATATGATCTAAGAGTATGTATTGACCATGACCCAAGGTCTTTCCAGCAAATGCAAGGTCACTGGCAAAAAAGGGTTTTATTTGTGTCTTGTCTGTAACTATCAAACGAAGGCTAATTGGAAGTTGATGATACCTGACACTGATATGACGTAAGGGTGTGTCATGATCTAATCCCAAGCTTATTTTGCCAAGTTCAAGGTAATTGGCTGAAAAAGTATTAAATTTGTGTCCAGTCTATATCTTTCTAATGGATGAAAACATTGGAACTTCATACTTTACATAATATTATCTATGTCTTGAAGGTGTGTCATGACCTTAATCCAAGGTCATTCTGGCAAGTTCAAGGTCACTGGAAGAGAAAAAGTAAAAAAAAAAATGTTGGAAGTCAAAACTTCAAAGAGTACTTGTGAGCTAAAAGTATGTCATAACTTTGACTCAAGGTACTATGGCAAGTTCAAGGTCCCTGACAGAAAAAATGTAAAATTCAGATTACGTTCATAATTTTCTAATGGATGTTCATATTTTACTCAAAGATAAATGATCACCAGAGGATGTATAATTTTTTTTACCCATTTTAGCCAGTTCGTGGTTACATTTACAAAATTACTAATGGGGGGGGGGGGGGGGGGGATGGTTTTGTGAGCTCACTCACAGTACCTCTAGTTGATTTTGTGTTGATATATTTTATATTTATTTATTCAGGATGGATTTTTGTCTGCACTGCCATATTTGGTTTGCTGGTTATGTCAGATGTCATCAGGACAACTTGCTGACTTCATAAGAAAGAATAAATATCTAAGCACTGCAGCCACAAGAAAACTTGTCAACTCATGTGGTATGTGTATATGTGCACTTGGAAAATGCAGCATTTTAACTGATTAGTCTGTCCAGTGTTTGAAGTGTCCTGTATCATGTCAACTTTTCATATTTTTGTGATCTGCTTCTGGCTATCATGGTTGATACCATGTGATGCATCCGACATATGTAACCCATTTGTGCATACATGATGCGACTGACTACTTTGTTTACCATACAATTACAGCTTCATGTAAATCTTTCGTAACATGTTACGCACTAAAGAGGTTTTTTAAATACATTTACTTTGAGATGCAAACATTTTTACAGTTACATGGTGAATAAACTTGAGTTTTTTAAATGTACAAGATTTCATGGTTCAACCCCAATATGATAAAGTAGTACCTGTGAAAATATTATTATTACCTTGAATGTTGGAAGCTTTACCCCTAAAGACCTTTCGTACTAAAATCCCAATTTCTAAAATTATAAGCAATTACTTATCAGTTAACTGTTGTGTTTTATATTAAATTTTTTAAAATATTTAAAATTTGTGTTTTATTATACAGTTATCAACGATCATTCTACCTTCTCATAATTATTCTCCAATGTTCTCCTTGTTTGCTTTATCAGTTAATTAATTGCACTGAGAGAGTCTCCAAATTAGTTTTAACGGCTGAAATGCTTTTCTGCGAATTTATTTTCAGAACCCTGTTGCTTTTCCGTGACTACTCTATACTGCTTTTCCGCGATTTTTTTTTTCTATGTTATGTGTTATCTCCTTTTTTTATACTTCCTTTCCACGACTTTTAAATAGTTACGCTTAGCAATTAACATCAAACGGTTGCCGATATTTACTTGTATTTACCTGTATTTCCCCAAAGCGTTCTACTCGGTAGTGAGTTCTTACTCACATGGTGATAAAAACTGAGTGAATCTCACATTTCACTCTGGTCGGTGATAGGTTTTAGATGTTTTAACAATATGGAAATTTTACATACAGAAACAAATGGGGGAACAAATTGATAATCTACAGTGAATTTACATACAGAAAAGTATATTTTTTTAAAGAATGGTGCTAATGGTTTTAAATCAGTGATGTTATCTAGTGTTTTACAAGACTTATTCTGCTTAAAATCCTACTTCCACCTGCCCATGGTAGGTAGGGGTCAACAGGTTTTACCTGGCTAACGGTAGAGCTAATGGAATTTAAAAAAGTCGCAGAAAAGCAAAAATTATAATCGCGGAAAAGCAGTAAAACTTGTTTAGGAAGAGCAGGAGGCAAATTAGATCAATAAAAATGAAATATATACCAAATTGAATGAAAGAAAAGATTTTAAAAAACCCCTAATTTTAAAAAAAATGTCCTTTAATCTTTATATGTGGCTCGAAACATCTGTATAAGGTGAATGGTCTCAGTGCGAATTGTCAATAGGAACAAAATGCCCCTTTACCCTTTCCCTTAAGAGTAAAGTTTGTTCATTGGTGTTTAGAATAAGTCTAACTCATACATTAGTTTATTTGTTTATTATAAGTAATTGACTTTTCTGTACATTCTGTGCCATTACTAAATCCACAAATCTGACAACTGGATAATAGATTTTCTGATCACTTCCTGTAGAAGGAATACTTCAATGTCACTGGACTCACTTCACCCAAACTTAGCAAAAAGCATTTTTTATTGAAAAGATTCAAGTTTGTTCCAATAATGGGCTATTTAAGTAATATATTTAACTTAGATATGATTTACATTAAATGATGAACCAAATTTGACCTTTAACCTGCCTTGTTCTTTTTTTCCATAGTATACAGTAAAACATGCTTATAGTAAAGTGCCAGGGATGAACAATTTTGATTCATTTTATACATAATACGTAATTATACGTTAAATTTTCAATACATTTCAAAACACGTGGAATGAAAACCACTTTGCTATAACCATTTAATCATTATGTTATTCAAATGTGTTTGCTATTACCTTGTTCTGCTGTATATTGTACCAGTTTGTATTTTCATATTACTGGAGCAGCTGTTTGTTTACTGTATTATGTTGAGCATGCTAAAGGAGTAGAAGCAGTTTATTATACCCCCGCTCTGAAGGAGAGGGGGGGTATACTGTTTTACCCTTGTGTGTCTGTCTGTCTGTCTGTCCATCTGTGCGTCTGTCTGTCTGTAACAAATTTTGGTTGCAGTTTTCTCAGCAACTACTCATCGCAGATGCTTGAAATTTTAGCACACTCTTTGTTTAGGCATGCCATATGGTGGGATTCATTTTTGTATGAATCTGATGTCAGCTTCCTGTTTATCCATGCATCTATCTGTACCATACATAACAAATTTGGGTGGCAGTTTTCTCAGCAACTACTCATCACAGATGCTTGAAATTTTAACACACTCTTTGTTTAGGCATGCTATATGTTGGGATTAATTTTTGTACAAATCCAATGTCAATTTCCTGATTATCACTGTGTCTGTCCATAACTGAACTTGTGTATTCACATCACAGCGGGGGTATTATTAGTGAGCACTGGCTCACAGACTTCTTGTTATAATAGACAAACCTAGTTATCTCTAACTGGATGGGACCAAGATTAAACTTCAAAATACATGAGGATTTGAGTTAATGAGGAAAAAACATACAGAAAAATGGTGGGAACTGCCATTTTTCACTTCAACATATCCCTGTTATTTTAGATATCAGCATTAGACATAACAAAGTTTAACTGTATTTGAATTTCAGGTTTACTTTTACCCGCCATCCTTCTGTGTTGTGTCCAGTTTGCAGGTTGCGACCATGCAGCAGTGGTTGTCATAGTAACATTTGCTGTAGGCATGGGTGGACTTTGTATGGGCGGATTTAACTGTAACCACATTGACATAGCCTCCAATTTCTCAGGTTTGTTCTTGTAACTTTACCAATGTTAAATACACATTGCATCAAATTGTTCCAATTCTACTGTGAACAAAATTGACATAAAATCCTGTTTCTGAGTATGTTTATTTAACCCTGAGCATGTTTTTAGATGTGATATCCAGGGATAAAGAAAATAAAGGCTAATTCTTGTCTTATCAGAGAATATACTGAAAATTAGACATATTCCAATCTACATTTAGTGAATTCTAACATCACTGAGGCAAAATAAGAATTTGCATCAACAGGACAAATCTGATACTACTTTATTTCTGTAGCATTTTCTTACATACTGAAAAACTAATTTGTATTTATTGAAGTGTAGGTGATTTTACAGGTAAAAACTGTAATTTCTGTAATTAGGTACACTGATGGGGATCACCAATATGTTTGCCACAATCCCGGGATTCCTTGGACCTGCTGTAGTTGGAGTACTAACCAAGCATAAGGTAAGGACTATGAATTTATTTATTATAGCCTTTTAGTGGAGTTGCTAATTACGAGGTGTCTCAGTTCTGGGTCCTTGTATGTATTGCCATATTGTTTAAATTAAAGCACAAAAAAAATTAATAAATACACTGGTTTTTCTGTCCATAATCAATAACAACATTTTGAAAATCACCATTAACAGAGCAATTTGGACAAACAAAATTATTGAACACACTCATTGAAGATAGAGATGTTTGCACTTCAATGACTTACTGCTTTGTTTTTGTTCACCACAGCATGGCTGATTTAAAAGTTTTAGGTAAACAATAATAGCTGCGAAAGTATTGCAGTGGATATAGTAACAGGCTTGTGGGGGGGAGGGGGGGTAAGTGAGTGAGTGTGTGAGTAACGGAAGTTTCACAAATAAAAATTCCTATTGGTATCCATATGCTATTCTGCGAGGGGATGTTCCGCTTTGCAGTGCCCTTGTTTTTCAATTTGATATTACCTGGGTAAATCATTATATTATTTCCCACTTTCTCCAGTAAGGTTGATATCTAAAATTAATCAAACTTGTTCACTAATCCTATAAACCAAGATAACAACAACATACCGAACTTTCTGTAGAAAGTTGTGGGTATAAAAACAAGAAACATAGTTAAATGTGAACTCTTGTTTTTGAAATTACTTAATATGTGAAAGATCTTTATACATCTGTGACCCATTTCAGGATACAAGGGATCAGTGGCAGATTGTGTTCTATATCTCGGCAGCTATTTATGTGACAGGATGTGTGGTCTTTAATGTGTTAGCAAAGGGAGAGGAGCAACCCTGGAATGTTCCAGAACAATCTGTGTTAGTGTTTAAAGGGAACGCAATCAATGAGAAGGAGGATTCAGACAGCAGTAGGGACAGTATAACGGCCAACGTCCAATCATACTAACCACATCTTTATTGAACAACTGTATAACGGCCAACGTCCAATCATCAGTCATATTGACCACATCTTCATTGTATTTAAATTATCTTTCAAAAGTTTAAGTGCAATTTTATGAATGAAGGTTGATTGCTTTGTGGTTTATTATGAATTTTTTTTAATCCTTGCAATTCTGCTCATTGACTTGGAAAGTGGATATCAAGGTATAGTAAACATATTAGGGATGGTGATTGATGACCAGTTACTTGGTCAGTACAATGGTAATTGGTCAATAAATCTTAAATCAGTTACAATATATACATGTATACAGTAAAACTTGTCTAGTATGAAAACAGATATTGTGAATTCACAGATATAGCAAAGTTTTCTTGGATCCCCAGCTATATAAAGTTAACAAATTCCTTATACAGACATAATGATATAGCAAAGTAATTTCACAGGTCTCAGTGACTTTGTAATAACCGAGTTTTACTATATATACAGTCAAACCTTGTTATCTCAGACTCAGTGTGACTGAGAAAAAACTTCGAGATATCTGAGGATTCGAGATATCCAGGGTAAAATACTTAAAGAATAAGTAGTTGATTGGGACTTCAAAATCACTTCTACATATCCAGGATATTCGAGATATCTGTGTTCAATATACTGAAGTTCAACTGTAGAGAGAGAGAGGATATTCAATGTTTGTAGTTGGATATGGAATTTATTTCACTATGAGACAGGAATTTTTAATATTTTCACTTGTGCAAAGCATGAGGGTAAATGTCAAAAATCCTGTCTCACAAGTGAAATAAATTCCACATCTAACTACAAAACATTGAATTTTCTGTTTATTACATTTTCTTTGATTTTCTCTTTGCCTCTGTCTTTTTGTAATAAAGTGTCATAAGCTGTAATGTCATAGTTGAGCAGACATCAGATTGTGAGATTGAAACATTGTAAACATGGATTTCAATAAGAATAATATTGGAAAACTTTGGCAGTTTTATTCTCTGTCAGGATTGTTTATTTATTCTATCTTTTAACGTGCCAGGGAGTTTTTTTTTTTAAACATTCTTCATAAAGAGAAGGAAAATCAAAAATTTTGCCACACTTCTGATATTCTTTCACACTGTGACAAAATATCACTTTGATATTCTTTCAGACTTTGACAAAACATCATTTTTATTCAATAAACAAATTACATGTACAGTATTTCACTGTTGAAAATGTAATACAGTTGAACTTCGGTATCTCGAACACGGGTATCTCGAATACCATGGATATGTCAAAGTAATTTTGAAGTCCCAACTGCTTATTCCTTAAGAATTTTACCCTGGATATCTTGAAATCTTGTATATCTTGAAGTATTTTCTCAGTCTGTTCAAGTTCAAGATAAGGGGGTTTGACTGTATATGTGTATATTTGAATTCAGTTTATTAAAGATTAAATTCAAATTTGAAAAAACAATTAGGGTATATATACATAATTTGATGACAATTAAGGCTATCCAGATTGAATGGGGGTAGCTTACCCCATCTATCCTTTACATTTGTCAATAAAATTATATTTAAACAAAGATGTAAATTAATTATTATATTTCTGATGGAGATGACTATGCAGAATCCAGTTGTGGCATCAGATCTGAGAAATTATGTTTCTGATATCGCAGGCATGTTTTATGGTTTTCATAATTTTTTGAGTATAAAATTGAAATAAAATTGATATTGTGTTCTGATTAAAATAACAGTATATTTAAACTGGTTTTTTTTTGTGTATATGAATAGAGTTAACATGAGAAAATAAAACACACTATGGATACATGTACAATTAAACAGCATAATCAGTCGGAATAAGTGGTTAACTTATGGCACAATTCTGCATTCAATTGTCATCCCTAAATATTTATAATGTATGCGATCATCATGGTTAAATGTTTTAAAATAGGAGTGAAACAGTTTACTTTGATGTGGATTTATTGCAGTATTTCTAGTTGATTTGATACACAGTACAAATTTAATTCACTTTTTTATCAGGATTATTATTCAGTCAAATTCAGCATTTGTAGTGTAAACATGCTACACAGCAATAATGAAATTTTAAAAATGTGATTCTTGAAGAATAATAATTGAAAGAATAATCAATAATAGTTAATTCATTCTAGTTAATTTCTTCTAATCAATTTGCAGGTCAAGTTACTGTTTATAGTGAATAAGATATAAAACAACTTGGAATTTGTTTATTGTACTGTGACAAATTGTACTTTACGAGTAGGTATTGTATTGTGAGGAGGCATATCGTTTCACCCCAATTTTAAAGGTGTTTTTTATTTTATAACAATACAATTATGTATGACAATTGTTGTGTAGGGCCCGTTATATTGATGTATTTGGTATTTGTTATTTGTTAATTTGAATTCTTACTTTTAGATCAAATGGGTTTAGATAGTTTTTGTTTTTGTTATATTTACAGATGTATACATGTATGTGAATATGTTGTAAAACTATAATTAAACCAAGTCTTTCAGACTTGCTGTAAACTCAGGTCCATTAAAGGCATTAGAGTACATGTTCTTCTCAGACTGTCATAAGAAACATCTTGTTTTTGTTTCACATCAAAGGGGTTATGTATATTATATTTACACTATTTAAGTTGTTAAATAAATGTTTGAATTAGTGCTTGTTTGAGGTAAAACAACCATAACTGACTTTTTATGCTAGATAACTGCAGTGTATCTTCCTTTTTTGGGTATCTTTTGTATGTTGAATGATTTTCTTCAAATGCACTTAATAAAATCTAAGAGCACTTCATAGTTATAATAATTTTATGAAAGTTTGCATGTATAAAATTCCTGCAAATAAAATATAATTTACCATAGATACATTTATGGCTCTTATTTTATTAGGCTGCCTGAAATTAATTCTACGTTTAACGTCACCTATAAACTTCAAAACCTACAAGGGAGGGAGAAAAAATTAAACAAAAGTTTCAAACAAGTAAGTAGTTACTTATTTACATAAATCAAAATACTGTAAATATTTGTGCATAGTGATGGCTTATTCTTTAATGAAAATTTTTAGTAAATCCATCAGTATAAATGATAGACTCAAATATACCTCATACAGGGCCCAAATGTCTATTCTTAAGGAATGCAGTTTTCAGTTGCTAAAAGACAAAGCAACCTGGAATACAAGTTTACAAAATGCTGATTTGTTGTTTTTTTTTCAAAGTGCCAATTTCTCCCAAATATATGCATAGGTGATGTTAAACGTAGAATTAACTATGGACAGCCTTATGTAAAAGTTTGGATTTTTTTTTTCAATAGTTGTAACTTGACCCAAGAATTTTCACACACGCGCGCGAGGGTGTGTGTGTGTGCAATATATATATATATATATATATATATATATATATATATATATATATATATATATATATATATATATATATATATATGTATATATATATTAGAGGGATGGGTATCGCCAAAAATCTCGTATCGTGAAATATATCATTTTTTTCCCCAAATATCGGGGATAATATCGTGATATCTTTACTACAATTTCAGATTAATTTCAATATTTTATCTTACAAATATGCTGTAAACACATAACTTCACTTTTTTTTTCATTTTTATTTAAATAATATAAAGCAATTTTGGATGCTGTTGTTTAACTGTTTTCAATATTTTAGCTCACCTGAGCCGAAGGCTCAAGTGACCTTTCCTGAACGAAATTTGTCGGTTGTCTGTCGTTGTAAATTTTTCACAATTTCATCTTCTTCTCAAGAACCACTGGACCAATTTCAACCAAACTTGCCATAATGTATCCTTGGGTAAAGGGGATTCAAGTTTATACAAATGAAGGGCCACGCCTTCTTCCAAGGGGAGATAATTTCAAATTCGTAAAAAATTAATGGCATCATTTAAAAATCTTCTCAAGAACTACTGTGCTAGAATATGTGAAACTTATGTGGAATCATCCTGAGGTAATGTAGATTCAAATTTATTCAAACCATGACCCCCGGGGGTAGGGTGGGGCCTCAATAGGCGATCAAATTTTTAAATAGGAATACATAGGGAAAATCTTTAAAGGTGCTTGGACACAGATTTGAAGTTAATATTTTCTCAAATTTTCTGTATAATTTCATGATTTATATGTTGCTATAGCATTTCATACTAAAATATAATAAAAATCTTAATTCATTTCGAAGTTATTAAAACTTCGAATTTCTGGACGCGTTGGATTGACATATCCTTGTGCTTTCACATATTTTAATTTTATTCTTAATACTTAAGAAAAGTGGCAATTTTGTTGTGTATTAATGAAAAATATTAAAACTATAACCCAGAAAATTCAGAGTAGAAATGTTCGAAAGCAAAACCCACTCAAAGTATTGTAAATCCGTGCTCAGTAGTGTGTGCAGAGTTTAACAATTTAACAATAAGAGAGCTCGTGCCCTGTTTACAAAAACAGTTTACGTTTCGCGGGTGTGTTCAATTTGTTAAACTCTGTACACATCACAGAGCACGGACTGACAATACTGGTGAGTTGGTTTGCTTTCAAACATTTCTACTCTGAATTTTCTGGATTATAGATATAATATTTTTCGTTAATACATAGCAAAATCGCTTCTTTTCTTAAATATTAAGGATAAAGTTAAAATTTGTGTAAGTGCAAAGATGTGTAAATCAAACGCGTCCCGGAATTCGTAGTTCCAATAATTTCCAGATAAAATAAGTTTTTAATTATATTTTCGTGTGAAATGCTATTGGAATATATAAGTCGTGATATTACACAGAAATTTTGAGAAAATATTAAGATCAAATGTGTGTCTAAGCACGTTTAAAAATCTTCTCAAGAACAGCAAAGCCACAATTGATCATATTTTAAATCAAAGTATTACATAGTAAATATGTAGATGAGAAAAAATCTTTAAAATCTTCTAGCAAAGTCATGTTTAGTCATAATTATATGGGGGCATTCCCAAGTTGTGTAGAGTCAAGTTTGTTCAAATCATGACCCGCAGGGGTGGGGTGGGGTGGGGCCGCAATATGCGATCAAAGTTTTAAATAGGAATGGATAGGGAGAAATCTGTTGAAGAACAGCAGGGCCATGGTTACTCAGGTGGGCGTTGTGACCCATAGTCTCTTGTTATTGATACGTCCTGTGTTTTTACCGGAAGTTCCCCCATAATTAAAGAATAGAAAGATGGAGGAAATATTTAATAGACACATACATTAACTCCTGTTTATCCCTGTTGAAAGATATGAGAGATATTGGCGTTCTTGATCTCTCAGATGCTATACATATTGAGAGTTTGCGATTTTGTTTTATTCCAGTAATAAAATCAGACCTTGAAAGGTTGATATACACATGGAATAATCACAGAATTAGAAAGCAGAACACACTTTGTCCATCGGGTAGACCATCTTTTCTGTATAACAACCCAGGATTCTGACTGTTGTGACATGATAAGGGCTGTTGACTTAGACGTGCTTGATATGTGTGAAGTAATAAGTACAGTGGAGAATGATTCTGAAATGGGCTCGTCTGACGAGTTTTCTAAAATAGCTTTAGAAGCGATTTTGCTATTAGATTTGTCTCTACCACACACTCTATATGATGCTATGGAACTTTTTGGAAACATAATAACACTTCTGAATGCTCGAGAAAAAAGTATTGTACACCGCAAAACTCAGTTATTCGTTATTTTTCATGTTAAAATAGCATTTTACTTATTATAAACTAAAGATTCCCTAATGGATTCGAAACACGTGCTTGAGGACAGGAACAACCCTCCCCCTACGGGTCTATTTGTGTGTGTGTGGGGGGGGGTGGGGGGTGGGGGGTCCTATCTTTAAGCACCTGTGATCTGAAGGCGAGATAATAGAGAGCTTTAGTTACTCGAATACTCCGAACGTGTACGTGTAGCCTACACGTACACGTACATAACGGCAACTTTTTATGCATTTGCGTTAAGTTACGCGTACGACCGGAAGTACTTGTAGCAGACGTAAACACTGTAAACATACACAAACATGTGTGAATTAAGGTAAGTAGAAACACAAGGAGAAATGAAAAAGACAAAGTTTAAAGAAATTCAAGTGTTTTTTTAATTGTTAATGAAAATCCACACAGGTTTAAATTCAATTTTACAAACTTTTAGCAATGACGACTTGCTGTTCATGCTTGATGAGAGGATCATAGATCAAGAAGAATTATTTATTTTATGGTCGTCTTTTAATTGTCGATCTCCCCAGCTTGCTCCTGATGGTCCTAGGTTAAATTTTGATGCACTAACAGATGAACAAAGTTTTTCGATGTTCAGGTACATGTGTAATAACTAATAAAGGCCTAAACATCAAAATCATAGTAAAGGGTAGATAAATTTTATAAAACAGTTTTTTTTTGGGGGGGGGGTTGCTTTTTATTGAAATTTGGATCGAGAGCTGTAAATTCTTGGAAATGACGAACTAAAAATTAGAATAGAAAGGTATCAGCAGACATATCATTTATTTATAGGTTTGGCAAAGATGATGTATTGCGTTTACGGACTACTTTGGGTATCCCAGAGAAAATAATTTGCAAAAACAAATCGGTTTCCAGTAGCCTGGAAGCACTTTGTATACTTTTGCGCAGACTAGCGTACCCTAACAGATTGGCTGATCTTGTTACCATATTTGGAAGAAGTGAGCCCGAGATGAGCTTGATCTTTAATTCCGTAATTTCTATTTTTTTTTTTAATGCATATATTCCCTATAAATATTTTTTCATGGCTAAAACGTAAACGGATATTCAATCAATCTAAAGTGTAAAGTGAACTTTAAAAAAACATTAAGGATAAAAATAGACGATTTTAACAATGGATTAAGTATAAATAAATAAAGTACTTATTTTATAGACATTGGATTTCATTTACAATGTGCATGGAGATAAACTGACGTCTCTAAATCAAAGATGGATACAAAGAGATTTGCAGACTTTGATGAATTCAGTGGATAGGCTTTGTCCTCTACAAAATTGTTGGGGATTTATTGATGGGACACTACGTCCAGTATCACGACCATCTCAGTATCAAGAAACTATTTACTCAGGTACATATACAAATACTTGCTGACTCATTTCAGGAATACCGAGGTATTTCAGAACAAAAACAGAACTCTAAAACTACAGTGAAAAGTCATTTATAATTTCCAAATGATGCAGTTCACGTGCCAGTCATACTAGACGTGTATGGTATGAAAACATGCACTACTCATTTTAAATAGATTTAGTTTTTTAAACATATCAACATTTATCTTCTTAAAATACAGGGCACAAGCGGACACATGGGTTGAAATTTCAATCGGTAATGGCACCAAATGGTCTGATTGCCAATTTGTCAGGACCATACGAAGGAAAACGCCATGATGCAGGAATTTTTAGAGAAAGCAACCTTGCAAATGATCTCTTACGTAACATGAATTCCCCGAATGGCGAACCTTTTTGCCTATATGGCGATGCTGCATACCCCATCAACCAACATCTTCTCGGGCCCTTCAAAGGAATCAACCTTACAGCACAGGAATTGGAATTCAACAGACAAATGTCGTCCGTTCGACAATGTGTTGAATGGGGATTTAATAAAGTTTCTAAGTTATTTGCATTTTTAGACTTCAAAAAGAATCTAAAACTGTACCTGCAACCAGTAGGGAAGTATTACTTGGTTGGGGCTTTCTTGACAAATTGTCATACGTGCCTGTATGGAAGTGTCACGACTGACTATTTTGGAGTAGTACCCCCATTATTAGAGGAGTACGTTAATAACTTGTAGATTCAAATTGATTAAAGAAAAAAAATGATGAAACTTTCAATTACCCCCCCCCCCCCCCTTTCCCAAATCATTGTTGTTCATATGTATTGATTTAACTTGAACACCAGATAAGAACCATTGATAGTCATAATTGTAATTATTTAATTCTAATATTTATGACATCAACATCATAACAACATTAATAAAAGATTTTTACAACAGAAATTACTTGTTTACTTTGTTAATGAGTTCTTTGAACAGATCAATCATTGCTTTCCTTTCTTCCTTCTCCAACGCAAACCTCTCTTGATCTAAGACCTGTCTTTTCTCCTCAACTTCTACCCGTTTCTTTTCTAATTCTATATTTTCTTTGCTTAACTGGTTCTCCGAATCAGTCTTCTTCTGCAGAAACTCAATCATACTAGTAGCACTATTAGAAGATCTTTTTCTTTTCAAAGCAGGCAGTTCATCGTCTTCACGAGGATCTGTAGTCAAACTGGCAGTTGCTAGAATGAAATTCAAAGGGTAATTTAGAATTATTATTAGTATGACATGATTTATGAATCTATGTACATATGTCGGACTCCATAAATACCTAAAGAAATTGCCTAATTTGTTTTTACTTTCGTAGTGAATTATTGTAAGAACATTTTAATTAAATCAAAATCCATCAGACATACATACACGCAGTCATGTTTTCCATAGCTTTTTTCCGAATCAGCTTTCCCTTCTCATTCTCCTTCTGTTTCTCTTTCTTTTGCTGATGTGACTCTGACAGCTCCAAAACTTCCTGCAATAATTGCTCCTTTTTACTGTAATCTTCATCGCAACCGGATCTGTGTGTATTAAAGACAATTTTAAAAATCTTTCAACTTTAATTCCTTAATATATATTAAAAGAAAGTTTATCAAAGCCGAATGCAACAATTCATACCGGTAGAGTTTTTCCCGGTCTTCTGATTTAAAGTAGGACAATAAAAGAGAGGTCCGTTCCCTGCATCTTCTCCCATCTATGGCGACACCGTCATATATCTCCATAAAACTCTCTGCTATTTCAGACCACTTATTAGCAGCATCACCTGCATAAGGATTTACAGCAGTCACACATATAAGGAGGTCAATGTCATGCTTCACAGAGAAGCGAAACATCTTTTTCCTTGGAGTTTCAGCTGCTGCCATGTGTCAAGGACCTGCATTGAAATCTGTTGCATTAAATATTTTGAAGACTTATTTTTATTATTTTATCATATTTTTAATTTTCTAAGACTAAATAGGTACGCATATTCTTAACTAATGAAAGCGAGTTATTATTATATCATAGAAATAGATTAATGTATTGTAGATTTTTTTAAATTTCTGTTTAAAAGCACAATGTTTAGGCCAACAATCAAAAAAAAAATATTTGTCTGATGTAGTCTAACCGGGAAATGCAGATTGTTCGTTTTATTTTTTAAAGTTAAAGATATATATGGCGTATCTGAGCTAAAAAATAAAAATACGAGATTGAGTGAACATGATAAATTGTTATTTACGTTCAAATTAAAATTTTCACCGATTTTGAGTTTGAATAACCCCATGTTTCTATTGTTAAATTGACTTTAAACTGTGTCTGATATTTAAATGCGGAGTCGGTGCTACACACGGTTAATTGCTTCTGCTTTGGATGTGTAAGCAAAAAATATATGATTGATTTAGATTGTAATGTTTTCTTTGACACTGGGAACTTAGGCTTTATAAATCCTTATAACTGTTTTAAAAAAAAACATCTAGGTATAAAGGGGACGACCAGTTGATTCTGATGTGAAAATGAGGGAAGGGGGTACGTGGGTTGGGTGGCAAATTTTGTCAAGAAAGATAATTTATTAATTATGCCCAAGATGACCAGATACAGATTAACTCTTTCTTTGGAAAAGCTACCCCCCCCCCCCAAAAAAAAAAACCACGCACAAAACAAAACAAACAATGAAACTTATTTCGTCAACACATCATATTTTGCATCAGTCAATGTGATACTGTTTATTTTGTTAAAGATGGAAGAAATATTATTTATTTTTCAACATTACTTATTTCCAAAATTGAAATCTGCCAGCCCCCCCCCCCCCCACACACACACAAAACCAACTCCCAACACATAGATCTAATGACACTACAGTTTCGTATTAAATAGCAGCTACGAAAGTTATGAAAAAAATCTTATTGCATACATTATTATATAAATTTTCATTGAGCCAACCGACTTTCCTCAATTTCAGGTTTTTTTTTCTACTTTCAAGTTTTGCATGATAGCGAATGTCAGTACACTACAGACAGAATTTGGTCCCTTTGTGAATGAAAATGCATATGATTCTTATGTAATATATGCTTATTTAATCATTTATATAAACATCATTTGTTAAAACTCTCAGAAAATTGCATAGACTTGAAATAAAATTACAAGTTATTTACTTACGTGTAAATCAAACGCCACAGGTTCAATACGGGTAACTACACGTCACAAGAACGCGAAGGAACTTCAAAGTACACATATTCTGATGACGTCATACGTACAAGGTCGCTATAAACTTGTAACTTAAGCTCTCTAATCTCAATTTATATCAAAGCTGGTAAAGGTCAAGGTATGAATTGCATGAACAATCTTGGAACTAAGTTAAGGACATACGCAACGTACCTTACCTACTGATAATTTTTCAAGATATTCTTAATTTAAGATTATAGTGCCATCAGATGTTCGTAGACAAAAAATCAGCAGGCATTACCAGGGGTTTTGAAAAGATATCAATTGATGAAAATTTCCGTATAATTCAAAGAAAAATATACAAAAATTACTTAACATATATTCTAGATGTTTTGTTTGTTAAAACTTCTTTTAGAAGAAGTGTACAATAGCATATATAGACATTAAAATGTAGCACACATTTCCTTTAAGTTTTGGAACTCTTCAACTCCAGGGAAAAAGACAATAAAGTTCAAACTACGTTGCGTATGTCCTTAAGCTTCTGGTATACTTAACGTTATATTGCGTGAAGCGGTCACTAATCAGAGGGCTCTTAACGAGGTTCGCTCCTGAGCTTTTGAGCAGATTTATATCTTAACCTATATTTCAAAAATTCTGCATAAAGTTTTAATTCTTACAATAATTTTGGATTCTACAATGCCAGTTAAACTATATTCAGTTAAAACTCCATGATTAAATTCCATACCAAAAGCATTAAGTGAGGAACTATATTTTGTGGCGGAAGGTTTTTTAGAAGAAAATGATCATTTTTTCTCTTTCGAAGTATTTAAAGTATGTTAAGTTTGGATTCCTATTTTTACAGCAGTCTGCACAAAGAGTTATTTTGTGCAGTGAACTGTTTTATACTGGTCCTAAGTTATATATTAAATAAACTGTCATGAATTCTGTCATCATATTTGATAAATATAGCAAATATATTGTGATAATCAGGGAAAAAAAATATCCCTATTTTAAGCTTAAAATTAGCACTAGTTTAGTAATATCTAAAAATTAACATCACAGACCCCCACTTCTTATTTTCTTTTCTAAATATATAAGATACTTTTAATTATTTTTCTTAAAATCAGTAAAATGTCATTACTTTCAAATGATATTTTTGCTCGTTAAATTTTTAATGCCAGAAAAATGAAATTTTTTGAGTGCAAAAAGGTCAAATAATTGAACATGCGGAGTAATTTGAAAATTTTTTCGTTGTCACCAATTTTAATGTGTCTATTCAAGATGAAATAAGACTGTGTTTGTTCCCATAATTAAATTGAATAAAAAATATTGGAGGAAAAACTTTAAAAATTGATTTATGTGTAGGACGTATTTACAGTGCAAAAAGGTCAAACTAAATGCTCTGTAGCGCCAAAAGAAGCGCATTGACCCCCATTTTTTGTTTTGATTTTTAATTAAGCTATGTGTATAAATTCTAAAAATATACTTGATAAAAAATTCTCATTACTTTTGATGGCAGGATCCAACCTCCTTAAGTCTCGCCGTAGCTTAACTCGCCGGAAATCTAAGAATATTCTCTCCATCCATAGATCGAAAAACTAGCTTACTAGCGAAGAAATAGAAGTTCTCTTTATACTACCCGCTATAGATTTTAATTAGAAGTGGGATGAATTGTCGAACAATGGAAGTATAACGATTGCCAATGCAAATTGATGTTTAAAACAACAATAACAAAAAAAAAATATTTACAGTTTATTGAACACCTGTCATATATGCCTTATATTTTCAGTAAATTATAATTCTTGTAACGCATAATGTAACGCATTTAGCGTTTTCCGAAACGGAGTTAACCATATTGAGAATTACATTACAAATTGAGAATTACATTACAAATTGAGAATAATGATTCTTCTTGAATAAATCCAATTAATAAGGTATCAGCCTAGTTAATGATAATGAAACAGAGTCAAAAAATAATGATTGCTTTCAATCTATGCCTTAATTTCTGATACAAGACCATCAATGAACACCTGGGGCTCGTTTCTCAAAAAGGCCTACGACCAGCTGGCGTAAGCTTAGTCCGGACTAAGTCAGTGACTAAACCCAAAAATTGGACTAAGTAGCGTTTCACAAAAAGGCGCAGACTTAGTCGAGACTAAAGTTAAGCTTAAATCTACTCCTGCTCATGAGTAGGCGTAAGTTCTGTACACAACTTGAAAAAAGTGGCAAGTGTTTTGATAATAAAGAGATAAAAGAATAACTATTTTGTACGTATACGATAATACATGTACCTATTTATGTACATATATGATATGCGAAAAATCGTGAAATGTACAATTATTATGTAGGTAAATAGAAAGGTAGTAAAAATCGAGCCAGGATGCAGACTTTTTTTGCCTATAAAGGTTTGATGAGCTAGAAATTTGTAAGTAAGAATTCTGAATTGGGTAAGATATTAAGAAGTGTCCGCGTTAAAAAAAAAAGCAGACACGCGTAGTTTGGGGGGGGGGGGGGAAGGCTGCAACCCTCCCGCTTTTTCAGTAATGGTGTTGTCTGTTAAAAATTTAGTTGTAATTTAGGCTGAC